CGCCGGCCCAGCCCAGCGGCACTGAGCCTGACGTGGTTCTATCGGCCCGACCCAGCGGTGTTGCAAGTTCCCACATGCCAAAGACAGGGGCAAGAAACGGAGTCAACAGGTGGGCCACAGAGATAAGATTGGACCCACACTGAAACACACTGAGCTTGCTTATGCGAGAAAAATCAGCCAGAAGACAGGGGCCCAACTGCACATCAAACATCCAAGCTGGGACAAAAGAAGATCAACTGAAGATAAAGCATCTCAGAAGTGGACAAACCCTTCATGAAGAATCCAAGGGGTCAGAAACTGTGGCGAGAAACGAAGGTCACGGAAGGGTCACAGAGATAAGGGATCAGAACTTGCTTCTGGGAGCAAAATTGGGCAGAAGGTCAAGAAGTGCTTGACCCTACCAGCAGGAGGAGGGGTGGAGCTGCAGGAGACAGACTGAAAAGAGCCTATCAGGAGACGGAAAGCCTTCATGAGGAATGCTGGACTTCGGGAAAAGACACCTAATGGCCTGAGTTCAGCTGAAAACCGTCCTGAAGAATGTGTTGAACTAAAAAAGTGTGTATCTGGTGAATGACCCCATGACCTTGCTGTCAGGTGATAATGATGTATGTGTAACTAGGAAACTTTTACTTGGTCTAGGCAGTCCCAAGAAGAGTATAAAAGAGCAGCTAGAAGCAGAGCTGACACAACAGTTGGGGCAGTCGACAGAAGAGACAGAGCAGATTTGGGATAGAAGAGGTCATCCTCTGTCCTCTGGACGGAGGATGACAGGTCAGGAAGATTTTAGCATTAGCATCCTCCACAGGGGATAGGTTATTTTTATATTTACTCATTTTTTTGTATTTGGCAATTTTTGAGGGAGTCAGTGAGCGTATGTTAGAGGGTATTAAACCTGAAGCTGAAGAAGACTTAGGGTTGGTGTAAGCCAACTCATTATTCTTAGTTAATTATTAGGATTAATTTCTCCTTGGGGGAAGTGATCAGTCTTATATCTACCCATTTTTTGTATTTTTTAATCTTGTAATAAACTTTTTGAAAAATAATCCACATCCCTGATTCTTCCAGGTCCTTTTTTAAAGATTAAGGTTGGGGCCCCGACCTGAACAATAAGGAGAGGTAAGCACATTAATTACAGGTTCCTGAATTATCAGGATTTGCTTTACGGTTTGTGACAGATTAATAAAAAGAAACCTTAAGTAAAGAAGCTTGTCTTCTCCTCTCCCGTGAGTAACGAGACATCCTAAGGATGATAAGCCAAAACATTAGAAGGTTAAATTAGGCTCTGTTTGCAAGTGTGAAAAAGTCTCCACCAGCGTGGGAAGGTTGGATTAATTAGATAAATTTATAAATCTATGTTAGCCTGATCAACTAACAAGAATCATTTTCTAGTTACCACCGCCCACAAAAGCTGACAGAGGCGCAAATTAATCCTAATATAACCCAAAGAATTGTCAGCGACGGATGGCCACCTGCTGAACTTTGCCCTAGTATCTAAACCACTAGATAACGGGATTAATTAAAAAAGAAAGTGTGCTATCACAAAAGAACAAGTACGGCATATCATTTCACCTTAAAATAGGAAACTGATTCTAACTGAGGGAGTCCAAACCAGGGTCTAGTACAATAAAACTCACCCACGCCCCACGAACCCTGAGAAAGCAGCGCATTCTTATAAGTTCTAACGGAACCAGGTTTAAAGGAACCGATAAATAGGACACACTCGCGACAGCGGCACCGGGCCCGGCGTGGTTCCATCCACCTGGCCCGGCAGCGCCGAACCCAGCATGGTAACTCCGGCCCAGCCCAGCGGCACCGACGCCGGAGGGGTCCTGCTGAGCCAGGCCCAACAACATTCATCGCATCGCGGTGAGCACTGGACCAGAGGACGACGGTTGCAGATGGGAGGAAGAGATGCCAGGAGGAAGAGCCGGTGGACGAGGTAAAGAAATGGCCACAGAAGACCTGGAGGAGATCAAACCATCTCTGAACTTTGTCACGTGAACTGTCAAAAGTAACATCACAGCAGAATCGATTACTGAGACTGATGGAGGAGGTGAAAGAGCTTAAAATACTGTTAACTGAAAAAGATAAGAAGATTTCGGCCTGAGAGCAAAGAGTTGATGAACTTGAACAACATACAAGACGAGAGGATTTGGTGATAATGGGACTAGAAACCCGACACAGAAGCTACGCAAAAGCAGTATCAAATCATGACTCAGCAGAAGAGGCTTCAGACAAAGAACTTGAGACACTAGAGCAGCAAGTTGTTACTTTTCTGCACAGCAAGAACATAACTATTCAAAGAGATGCTATTTCAATATGTCATGCACTGCTAAACCAACTATTATTGTAAGGTTCACCAGCAGGAAACAAAGAAACAGCGTTCTGTTACAAGCAGACAAGCTTAGAGGCACCAATGTGTACATAAATGAACATTTAACCAAAAAAATGGGACAATAGCTAGAGAGGCACGGATGCTAAAAAAGCAGAAAAAAATTGTAGCTACATGGACGAGGAACGGGAGTGTATGGATCAGAGAACAAGAAGGGTCACTGGCTAGGATAATAAAGGAGCTGGGAGAACTGGAAAATGTAATAAACAGTGAAAGTTGGAAGAGGGATGTAGAATAAAGTAAAATCTCATATAACATCACATAAATGAAATACAAGTAAACCACAACACAAGCATATGGACATAACAACAAATACTTATGAGGAACTAGAATACTAGATATATGACCCTGGAAAGGAACTAGAACATAATTTGTACATACATATGAATAATAAATGTGAATATTTTAGTGAACAAGAACTAAGTGATTCAGTTTTGACAGAAGGTACCCTCTCGATCATTCACTTCAATAGTAGAAGTTTGTATTGCAATTACTCTAAAATATTGGATTATTTAACACAAAATAAAAAACCTTTTCAAAGCATTGCTATAACAGAAACATGGTTAAAAGAAGGAGATGAGGAGGAGGTACAAATAGAGGGGTATGAAATGTACTTTATGAATCGGAATAATAAAAGAGGTGGTGGTGTTGCACTGTATGTATGTCACAATTTAAAAAGTAAAGTCATTCATAACATGTCAACAGCCATCCAAGATGTCATGGAAATGATCACTATTGAAATCATCTCTGAAAAGACAAAAAACATAATAAGTTGTATCTATAGAGCACCTGGATCTTGTGTAGAAACATGTACAAATACAATTACTGAGATGTTGAGTGGATTCTGTAACAAGGATGTATTTCTCTGTGGGGACTTTAAAGGAGCATGGGGCAGGATGAAGAAACGAAACTCTTTAGCGACGCACTCGGCGCTGTGAGTAACAGCAGCTCGGCACGAGAGCACGCACAAACTCTTCACTAGAAAAAAAAAGTTACAGTGATGTACGGCCAGAACGCGGCTCGAACAAGACACCGTGTCGAGCGATGAAGTAAGTAACATTGTTACTTTAGTCTAATATTTGTATAATTCCATGACAACATTAGCATTTTAATTTAGCCATGACACTCGTGATGTAAAGCAAATGCTCCTTCCTATGAAATATTCATAAGCCAGTTTTGTGACTGGCGAGCAAGACAGTAACATGATGCTACTTTATCAGCATAAGGCTTTGTGGCTGCAGGTGATTTCTGATGTTTTTAGACCAATTACAGTTATTATTTTGCACTAAGCTTACTAACAAGCTAATGTTATTGTTTATACATCATGTAAGAACATCCAATTTCAAGTCACTGGCATCATTTGTGAAACCAATTTCATTACAGGACAGGCATCACAACAATGTAAAAAAGAACATAAATATCAATGTTTAGTTCTAAAATGCATCAAAATAAAATCATAATATCAACAAGACCTACAGGGTAATACAGTCATTTTTGTCATTACTGTCATTGATTTTCAGGAATTCACATTGGAAGCAGTGATGGAACAGTTCAGATGAGGAGTTTATGGCGTCAGACCCGTGCCACAACCCGTGCATGCGGATTGGGTCCACATCGCGCGTGTGAACGGGACTCGCGAGTGAAAATATACATGGCGAGAGGTCATTTGTGCACTGAGAGGGAGCAAACTGTGTCTGTGAGCGCACAAGGATGTGCACAAGTGACAAACCTGCGTGCGCGCATTGCCAACGAGCAGAGAGGCTGCCGTGCGCGCACGTTTTCCTCTGCTGTGTGCTCGTTGGCAACGCGCGCACGCAGGTTTGTCACTTGTGCACATCCTTGTGCGCTCACAGACACAGTTTGCTCCCTCTCAGTGCACAAATGACCTCTCGCCATGTATATTTTCACTCGCGAGTCCCGTTCACACGCGCGATGTGGACCCAATCCACGTGCACGGGTTGTGGCACGGGTCTGATGCCATAGGAGTATGTGCCTGAGCCTGCCACAGACTTTGATGTGTCGTGGGAAAGTCTGAGACCAGGGGCTAAAGGAAAGGGGAGAGGAAAGGTCGCTCCGAGGGTCGGGGAAGGACACGCTCAAGGGGTGAGGGCAGCAGGTTGAGGTCCAGAGCTCCTTCAAGAGGACCAGGGCGCCGGGGTAGGCAGCCAACAGCTTTCAGAGAAGAGAATCGAGACCGGCTTGCACAGCTGAGAGCTGCCAGTATAGCTGAGATGCAGGTTGGTTGTAGCCATTTGTGTAAAAAAATAAAATAAAATAATAGAGATGCCAAAAACAAAAACATCACTCACTGGAGATATGAATCTAGTCATGTAAACATATGCTCTTTAATTTCTAGACAGCTTTACAACACCTGAGCCAGGAGGAGAGAGATTATATTCTCGAGAGAGTGGTGACCCGTCTTCCAGGGGTGATGCTGGATATCCTGGAGTTTCAGCAAGAGACGCCAGGACACCGTCTTCCTGACTGAGGGCAGCCTAACCCAAAAATCCAAACCGTTTATCTACAACTACAGTAGCTCCAAAACAGCACAATACCTCAAAATAACTTTAGCTGAAGACAGCATTTTCACCCAAAAATAAACAAACAGTTTGTGCAATATATTTATTTTTATTTATGTGCAAAAAAGTTCTGTTATTTGCATTTGTACATAGTATTTTTTCTTAATTTCTAATAAATCTGTGTGCATGAAAGAAGTCATTCCTGTCTTTTGATGCTTCACGTAGCTGGGGCCTTTATGGAGAGAGAACAGCAGCATTAGATCATACATAGATTACATGAGAATGCAATTCTGGAAACTCTCCAGTTCTGAAGTTGACCTGTAAAAAAACAAAAGCCACAACTTTATAGATTATTAGGAATCACACTTTTGATTGCCTTTTCACCGACAATTGTCATTTCTATATGTAAGTTGTCAGCTTTGATATTGACACTTTAGCTTTTTTGCTTATGAAAATGTTATTAATATACCTAAAGGTCAGATTGGTGACATCCTTCAACCAGCGTCTGTTGAACATGATTCGTTGAAGAGCCTCGTGTGGTGGAGATCCTGGCACCATGCCACGTTGCATCAAGTGGTCCATGGTCACATTTGCCACGGGTCCATTCATGCTTCCCTGTGACATGGTGAAGCACACCCACCCACATGTCCTAACAGAAAAAATAAGTTTTATTTGAAAACTTTACATGTGACAGAAGCGCTCACCAACAGAAACACGAGAGCTGGCACTATTATGAAAAGAAAGGTAATTATGTCAATGTGCATTGTTGTCTTGTTGTCCAAAAGATGTCACAATACTTACATTAAACATATCACGATGTTGTGCTTTCTGGCAAATGTACCAAAATTGGCTGACGATGTCCTTCAGCCACACAAGTAGGATGGAAATTCCCTTTAGGCTCCCAGCCTGTGAACAAGGATAAAACTACAATTCCATCTTTTAGTTCTTTTTAAAACATAGAAGGGTTTTATTTACCTGCAACGTTTTGTTTGCGGCTGCAAACTTCGTCAGCCTGACAAAGTTTTCATAACAGTTCTATTCTGTTATGAAAACAATGAATAAAAGTAGAATTAATATATTGTTTTAAGACTTTGGAGTTAAAAAAAAGAGTGTAGATAAGAAGACATTGCAACTCACACACTGTTGAGTAAGTTGTTTGCTTGGTCCTCATCAATTTGGACTGCATCCGTAGCTAGATCCATGGCTTTGAAACTACAGACAACACAATAATATTTGTTGTACGTAAAGATAAATACTGGAACTTACCTGAAATGGTACTGATTCTAAAGAGATAAATGTGGAGCCTAATACATCTGTCATTAATTCTTTCTGCAAATAACAACAATCTGCTGTAAATTGACACTTCACAACATAAATAAATATATATAAAGACGTGTATTTGCTTATCTATTGTGTTTTTATCTTTTTTGCACATAGTACAGCAGTAATTTCCTGCATATATGGCAAGACTTCTCATGAACATATTTACCTTTCTTCAAAAGGATCCAAATCTTGGTCATCAGCTAAGGCCTCAACACCAGCCATTAGAAAATCTTCCCTGTAAAGATAATGTCAGAAGTGTTTGGTGGTGTGATGTTAGTTCTGAACCAAGTGTGGATATGCAAGGTGTAATTTAATGTATGAAATATCATAGCACAAAAACGTGAATATTTGTTTTACAGAAAAGATACTAACCCCTCAGACACAGGTTCAGTTGGAGATAATCGATGCGACATTTTAGCTGCTGTTCTCTTACTGGGTGTTGAGGTTGACTGCACATTACCTCCCTGAATCGCAGTTTCAGGAGCCTGCTTCTTCCGGTAGCTGGAAAACACATTTTTAAACAAAAATGTCAACAAGTTGGTTGAGACTACACCTTCTGTTTACATAAATGATTGCTAAGCATCTTTACCTGTGGCACAACTAGTAATATGAAAATGCAGGCCAGTTATAAAAAAAAAAATTATTTATCATTTTCACAAACATATTTTATTCTGACCTACATTCAACTGGACAAAATAAACACAAACTTCTGCACAACTTTACTTTTAGTCAAACGTGTTGTTATGGCTGACTTATTTATTCTTATGTAGCACAGCAATAACGTTAGGAAAAGATATTCCGATGGGGTTCTGTTACACAAACCCCACGAATAACATTATCTACTGAAGTAACAGTCCTGCTTAGAGGTTGGACTGTAGATCAAATATGACATAATTCTAAAGACTCATCTTTGGTTTGGAAAATGTCCGTTCTCGTCTGTGGTACATACAAACTGAAACGTGATCACAGCTAACATGCTAACGCACGCTAGCTCTCTCCGGCTGAGCTGTATAATCAAATCAAGCTCTGTTTACTTTTCTCGTCAGAATAAACGGAGCATCCATTTATCTCCAAACACATGCGGCGTGTCGTCCACAAAACGTAGAAGTGATCCGATTACTCCTTAGTTGCTTTTAGCTTTTTCTAACTGATCAGGAAGCCATATGCTAAACTCCGTTAGCTTAGATAAGTTTCTTGTTCATCTGCACAAAGATTTGTTAGATTACCTAAATCAGTATTATCTAAATCCATAGGTTTTATTTTCTTTTCTTAAATTGTGGAGATACAGCTCTGACATGTTTACCTACTCGTTACTGAAACCTACAGCAGACATAAGGAGACCAGGTAATACAACTCTTACCTGGTCACTAGAAAATGCGCCATGTCCGCATCCTTTTCAGGCCCAAATTGAGTTGAACCAGCCTCATTCTTCCAGAGCCTACCCAATACATATTCGGGTCCCTGACCGACTTTTATATTTTCTTTTTGACTCTCGAGATGCCGCTGATAAAACCTTCTTCTTTGTGCCACTTTAGTGGGCTTTGAGTTGCGCTTGGTCTTTTGCTAGTTGTAGAATCCATTTCCAGGGTTCTTCCTCTTTTGTTTGAGGTTTTAACGTGGCTGGTAGTGAAAGACGCATTACCGCCACCTAGCAAGCTTCCAAATGTTTTTCCGGGTTTGAACCTTGTCGAGAACGCGCTTGAAGCGTCAAATAACGTCACATCCGTTAAACAGCGCGGGAAATTCGGATCAGAAATGTTTTGCATTTTGCAGCACACAGCCTGATTAACAAAATGGAATGATAAACTGGTTTCATCATTCTTTTTAGTTTAAAATGCTTCATCACCCATAAGCTTCACAAGAATGAACACGTATCCTATTTACTTCTTGTTTTTGGACAATTCCTGCCCCATGCTCCTTTAATGTTGATCTGGAAAATGTAAACAATTCAAAAACAGCAAACGACTTCATAAATTCAATGTATCTACTCGGTCCGTTTCCATTGATAACCAAACCAACAAGAATTGATGCGCATAGCTCAACAATTATAGATAATATATTTACTAATGCTTCAGAGGGGATAGAGAGAAGTGGAATAGTGATGACTGATATCAGTGATCATCTGCCAATTTTCACAGTCTATAAAAATCACCAGATCAAAAATCAACAAAAAATGGAAAAACATAAGGGACAGGTCACAAAACGCTATAGATGCACTAAAAAGAGATCTGGAACAACAAAACTGGGATGAAGTATATGTTGATGATGTAAACTTGGCTTGCAATTCTTTTATAGGAATCTTATGTAGTCAATATGACAAAAACTGTGAAACAAAAACTCAAACAAAAAGAGGGAGGATGAACAAACCATGGATGACAAAAGGGCTGCTGAACGCCTGTAAGAAAAAAAATACATTATATAGATGTTTTTTAAAACTAAGAACAAGTGAAGCAGAAAGGAAATACAAAAAATGTAAGAATAAATTAGTTTATAAAATCAAAAGACAAAAAAAAAGGATTATTTTAGCAATTTATTAGAAAAAACAAAAATAATATTAGAGCAACTTGGGGAATAATAAATAGTCATAAAAAGAAATAAAATAGCTTCAACTGTTCCAAATTATTTTGAAAACGGACAGTCTGAAATTAGTGAAACCAGTAAAATAGTAAATGAATTTACTAATGTGGGACCTGACCTGGCTAAAAACATTCCAAAAAGAACTAATTATAGTACAGGTGAGAATATCAAAAGCAATAAAAACAGTATATGTTTAAGTCCAGTAACTAGTGATGAAATAAGAAATATTATCGATAAATGCATCAATAAAAGAAGTACTGACTGTGACGGTTTAGACATAACATTAATAAAAAATATAATAGAAAGTATTATTCATCCATTGACTTACATATGTAATTTATCTTTTGCAACAGGGACATTTCCTAACAGGATGAAAATTGCAAAAGTCATACCACTTCATAAAAGTGGAGACAAACATATCTTTTCCAACTACAGACCAATATCTTTATTGTCACAATTCTCAAAAATATTAGAAAAATTATATATTGCCAGGTTGGACCGATTCCTGATCAATGAAGAGATATTAAATGACAGTCAGAATGGTTTTAGAACAAATCATTCAACATCCATGGCATTAATGGAATTAACAGAAGAAATATCGGAAGCCATTGACAAAACAACTCATCTCATAAGTATCTTTATTGATTTAAAAAAAGCATTCGATACAGTGGATCATAAAATTCTTATTAAAAAACTTTGTAAATATGGCATCACAGGGATGGCCCTAAAATGGATAACAGGTTATCTTACCGATAGGCAGCAATATGTTCAAATAAACAACACAAAATCACATATACCGTAAATCCTCTAATACAGGCCCGGGCCTCTATTTGACTCAAGCTTATCAAGCTCCAGGCCTTTATTGGAAGGAGGACCAGAATTAGAGGCAGGCCTCTATTTCTATTGGAGCAAAATGAACTAATGGTTCGCTGGAGTTTTTGACAATTAATATTGCGCCCACATTTTCAAAGTTAAACACATTTCTTTTAACAACGGTAGTTTCTGCTTCAGCCCTCTCCCCCCTCCCCCTGCTTCAGCCCTCTCCCCCCTCCCCCTGCGCAGCGGCCACAAACTCACTGATGCGCCTGCAGCCTCTCGGAGTTCCTGCTGCTCTAAACATTAAAATAATTATTTCATTTTCTGGTCCTCACTTCTGATTACCTTCAATGGTGTCTGTTTGTTGCAACCAGCAGGTACAAAAACTAACTTGTTTTTATTTGACTATTTTTCTGTCCTGCCTGTTTATTATTTTCCTGCATCTCCTCTCAATCCTAAAGAGAAACTGCTACCTGGGTTCATATATATTCACCTCATGAGTTACCTTTGAACTGCAGTTCTAAAAGATCTACCGACCGCTAAAACAGCGGAGTGCTCGCTGTTTGGCGGCCGTATCAGTGATCAGTGCGTCAGAGGACAAGGTGATGCGCGCAGCGCCCCGCTCCACAGCATGCAGCAAACGCATCAGGCGCAAATAAAAGACAGAAAACATTAAAGGAAATGAACTGACATGAACGATCGCGTGTCAGTACCTACGGTCTGGCACAGCGCGTTGCCCCCACCCCCACCCCCACCCCCCCACCCCGAGCGCAGGAGCTTGTCACCTGCTGACAGCAGGCTGCTGTCTTTTCCGAGGGCTGCATCTTGCCGGTCATTATCACGTGACAGCGACTAGTCGACGACAGGCATAAAAAGTCACTATAGTGAAGTCGACTAGTTCATACACCCCCTACTGCTGCTCTCCAGAGTGTTCTGCAGCATAATCAGCACGTTCTCTTTGAACTTGATAGTGTAATGACCTGGCTGGGGTTGTAAGCCAGGTGCATTCTGGGTATTGGGTTATATGTGTTTCCTATCGTTCTGCTAGTTCCTATGTGCTGATTTGCGTGCTGTGTGAGTGTTATGTAAGCCACAGGGAAGGTGATGTGTGTTCTGTGGAGCGGGTTGAATTAGCATGGTTAACTGACACCATGACTCTGTGTGGTAGGAGCGTGATAGAGGATCGTGTCTGTAGCGTTACAAAGCGTTGAAGAAAAAGCCTAATAAAGGTCTGCGTGAACCTCTACTGCCTCCTGCTGGTTGATTTGGGGACTATAACCCTGGCGCTGGGACGCTCATACTCGCTTTTTACTACATTCCACCCGGCCACAATAAGAGACCGGCCATTATTTACCTCAACTGACTCTGACGCCGGTCACAATTGGAGACCCGGCCTTTAATTAGATACCGGTCTGTATTAGAGGATTTACGGTAAATAACATTACTTGTGGTGTACCACAAGGGTCGGTATTGGGCCCTAAACTATTTATCATTTATATAAATGACATTGTTGAGGCATCCAAAATATTAAAATGAACCTTATTTGCAGACGATACAACTTTTTATTATTCAGGAGATAATGTTGAGCAGATGATAGAAGTGATACAAACAGAGATGAAAAAAATTAAACTATGGTTTGATGGGAACAAACTATCATTAAACAGTGATAAATCATGTTTTATGATATTTAGTAGTACATATTCAAATGATGAAATTTTATTAAATATAGATGAGATTAATGTTCAAAGAGTTAAAGAAGTCAAGTATCTGGGAGTCATCATTGATGAAAAAATGTCTTGGAAGCTGCATATAAACAGCGTCAAAACTAAAATATCTAAAACTATTGCACTGTTACATAGAGCTAAAGGGTTACTTGATAATAATTCACTATATTTGTTATATAACTCACTGATCATACTGTACCTGAACTACTGCATCGAAATCTGGGGAACAACATATAAAACTTACACAAATTCGATCTACATCTTACAGAAAAAAATCAATAAGAATAATCACAAGGAGCAACTACAGAGATCCATCCAATCCATTATTTCTAAAATTAAAAACATTGAAATTCTATGATCTGGTGGACTACAATATTTTAAAATGTATGTATAATGCAAACAAAAGGAACGTACCTGCAGGTTTAATCAAAAGATTTACAAAAACACATAGCAAATATGATTTAAAAGGACATGAATTATTTAACATACCTAGACATCGGAAACTCGTAAAGGAACGTTGTGTGTCCATATATGGAGTTAAATTGTGGAATAAATTAAATACTGAAATCAAGAATGCAAAAACAATATTGACTTTAAAAAAAGAGATAAAAAATGAAATGATTAACATATATAGAACTGTTACATAAATGTGTGAGGGAAGGAGGGGGGCTTGGAGGGTGAAAGAAAAAAACTAGTATGTATTCATGTGTATATATGTATGTATATAGGTATATAACTTTATGCTTCTTTCTGTGTAACTTGTTTTCTCTTTTTTTTTTCCAATTCATGGGTTGAGGTTGTGTCAACCAGTCCAGGAACTATATTGTTCAGTTTTTTTAAGAATCATATGATTATTTCATTTGTATTAATGTTATTTTAGTTAAAAGGGGCAGACAACATACGTTTTTCTTCTTTCTGTCCCCTTTTTCATTTTGGCTTGCAGCAATTTAGTTCTGTATTTTTATTTTAATGTCAATAAATGAAAATATAAGATTAAAAAAAACATACAGACGGCGCGACAAAGGAATACATTCATAACAGACAAGACGTGGTATAGATAAATATCAAGTCAAAGTAAGAGTTACTGCAAATGCATCAAATTTGAACCACAAAGAAAATCAGAAGCTGTTGCAAGTGGGCGTCGTATACTTCATACCCTGATGTTGGAAACAGATAAAAAGAAGTGGTAGAACTTAAATCAGCAGGTAAATTGTTCCAGTCCATTGGACATAGAAAAAGCCAGTTTCCCTGACTCCTTTTTTTAAACAAATAAATCTGATGAGTTCTGCAAATGTTGTAATGAGATCGGAACGGTATTAGCAAAGTGGTTGAATAATGACAGTAGTGAGGTTGGAATACAAAACAACAGATTTGGGGGGTCTTCCAGAAAGCGAGTTTAGAACATCAGGATCTCCTGAGAAAGCCCTGATAGACCTTGCGCTCCCCTCCCCTCCAGGTTTCGCCAGCTCTACAAACAGTTCTCAGGTGAATTCAATCCCTTCTAATCCAAACGAGCATCGGAAAACACGGCTCACATGCATCCATAGGCAGACCCTGTTAATTGATGCCAGATAAATGAGAATAGAAGGAAAAGACAGAGCCTCGTTCTTCATCCAGATGGAGCAATAATTATTCATTCATGCCTATGAGGACTACAACGAAAAGATAGAGACCATGAGCTGTTTGAACAAAGTTGTGTAGCTGGAGCTATTTAGTTAGAATGCTCAGAATTTACATGTTTCCACGGCAACACCGGAAGTCTGCTTCAGCTCGTTTCTCCACACCCAAAGGGTTCAAATGAAGGCAACTGGACTTCTTTGGTTTCTTGAAGACGTTTCGCTTCTCAGTCAAGGAGCTTTGTCAGTTCTAACTGAGGGTGTTGTTGGGTGTAAGGACCACAGACAGAAATTGGTCTATCCAAAAGACAACACAACACAGGAGAGCCACCTCTTCAGGTCAGGACTCTGCAGTCCACCTACACCTGAAGGACAAGGGACACACCTTTGAAGAAGACAATGTCCACATTCTGGACAGAGAAGATAGATGGTGTGAGAGAGGAGTAAAAGAAGCTATCTATGTCAAACGTGAAAACCCCACTTTAATTAGGGGCGGGGCTTAGATTTCACCGTTCCAGTACCTATAATGTAGCTTTGGATCTCATTCCTAAGCAGTTTCAGTCTAGGTCACACCCTCCTGCATCTAATCAACACAACCACTCATCAGGGGATGGAGAAGAGGGGTACTCAGAGTAGTTTCTGCTCGTTAAACAACAACAGACAGCTACAGCTTATGAGCTTGACTCTCCCATATTCTAGTCAGAACTGACTAAGGTCCTCGGGTGAGAAGCAAAACATCTTAAAGAAACCAAAGAAGTCCAGTTGCCTTCATCTGAACCTGTTGGATAACCATGACCTGGATGACTGAGAACCTTCAGCAGCACGTTTCTCCACCTATTTTTTCAACTTTTCATCATTGATGTCGTTTTCATGTTCTGCTCCAGAGGCTGGAGGTGTAGAGACAGGAGGACTTTGTTTTTGCTGAGCAGCTGTGAGTTTTAAGAACATACGTTTGTGGTCACATGTCCCTAAAGTTAATTCTGGTCATAGTCTGGTTAGGGTTAGCGCTATAAACGTTACTCACCCAGGGAAAAACATCACTTATGTCATTTAGATCTAATATTAGCATGTTTGACTCGTGTGACCGAGTAAATATGTAATCACACCAATAAAGTATTTCCTTTTACATGTGTTATGCTAGCAGCTGTAAGCTAGTTTAAGGCTTTTTAACATAAAAAGGACAGCTGATGATACGGGTCTGTCCATAATTATACTTATTAATAATTTAGCCATCAAGAACAAAGCTGCAGATGCTGCTACCGCTGTGGTGTGCAGTAGCAGCAGGTGATGTGACGTGCCTTGTCAGAACGCCTAGCTGCTAGCCTGCCACAGAGCAGGCTTGTTCTCCAGCATGTGTTACCACTGGGAGGGCTTTCAGGCTAGCCATGTTCATAGAACCGATTTAGAGGAGGTTACAGCGGGACTTTCACAAGAAAGCCTGGTTTGGGGAAAATCTTGCTTCTGGGATAGGCCCCTGGTCTAGGTCTCACCTGTCTGGAACATTGCAGCTACTTTGTCATTAAACTGATGCTTAAGGACGTAGAACTTTTAGATAACTGATCTAACTGACTCTTGCTTTTTTTTTCAGCAAATTGATGGAAGAGCATTTCTTTTACTCACACAAAGGGACATCATCAGGATCATGTCAATCAAACTTGGACCTGCCCTCAAGATCTACAACTCCATCCTGATGTTCAAGCATGCTGGGGACAAGAGCCAATCACACACTGAGGATAACGGTCAATCAGCCATTCAGGATTCTAGCACCTGACATCTGCAACCGGTCACTGAAAAAACTCAGGATGATTTAAAGCAAGCCCCGCCTTCTGGTGGTCCCTGAAACTGCACCATCCACTCATCCCTCAGTTACATTTCTGTCACATAGAGTTTAGGTGTCTGCAGGGCAACCTTCTGCCATTGTTCTTTCACTTTATATTAAAACAGCTGCGCTTCATTTAGGGCTCTACCTTATTTGAATAATACAAAAAAGCACAGGATCAAAAGGATTCTGGGTTGTAGAGCTACAACTGTGATTATGTTCAGACCTAGAGGATTCAGAGCCTGAAGTGGAACTCCGGAGGATTTGTTTTATCCTTTTGTGTCAGTGGTGACAGTCGATGCAAACATAAGTGAACGTCACCACACTTAGATGACACTTTTGAATTTACTGAATATGCAGATAATTTATTATGAGTTTTATCTCACTAATGAATATTAAACATTACGATAACATCATCTAACAAGAAAAAACATAACGCTCTAAAGAATAAAAATCAGAAGCTAAATCAGTCTGACAACAGGACTGATGTAGAACTACAAAACTTTCAGTAGGGAGATCAAATCAAAACGGAAAAAAGGATTTGGTCATTTTGCTCAAGAGCCCCAATGAGATGTTGCTGATGAGGAGATCGCAGCGGAACCAGGACACCATCGGCCAGTCATTGTGATATCATTCTGGAAATCTTCATGATGGGTGAAGTTTGAATTTCAGTGTTTTACATTATTCCTCCAGTGTTCAGAAAATATATTTCCTGCTGTTTCTATAGAGATTTATTTTAACAATTGTGTGAGAAAATAATTTTGAACCAAAATGCTGACTCTTCCTTCTTTGTGATGTCACAATGAGGTCATTGTTGTAGTCAAATCACCACTTTTAGAGGGTGCAAAGCTGCACATGCTCAGTATCTATAGGACAGGTTTCCTCAGGTTTCTATGGTAACACAATTATATTTATAAATTCAGTCCCTGTCTACATTTCTGCCGGTTTGATAAAATCAATAAAGTCTTTGATCTGGTTTGTGTGTGTGTGCGTGCGTGCGTGTGTGTGTGTATATATATATATATATATATATATATATATATATATATATATATATATATATATATATATATATATATATACACAGAAACACACACAAATTTATGTGTGTGTTTCTGTGTATATATATATATATATATATATATATATATATATACACAGAAACACACACATAAATTTGTGTGTGTTTCTGTGTATATATATATATATATATATATATATATATATATATATATATATATACACAGAAACACACACATAAATTTGTGTGTGTTTCTGTGTATATATATATATATATATATATATATATATATATATATATATATATATATATACACAGAAACACACACATAAATTTGTGTGTGCGTGTTACATCCAAGTCTCTGTGGGAGGAGGCTGTTAAAGGAGGAGATCCTGCGACTCAGAGAATCACTGCAGAAAGAGAGGGAGGAGCAGAGGAGGCGATAACCAGAGAAAATAAGAGGAGCACTCACTTCAAGAGACCCTGGAGCAGCAGCAGTTGAGCGGGAGGAGCAACATGAAACCGCACCAGTAAGAGCAAATGGACGACTGTTAGTTATTGATCCAAATTCAGTAAGGATCTGTGTTATTTGTTCTTGCACTGCAGCAATTAATGAGTTCCTGAATCAGCAGCTAGTGGTTCACTAGAGATCCATGTTTGGTCCTCTCTCCGTGTGTGTGCACATACTTATAGGTATTGATTATTATTGGCTGCAGCCATTGATAACATCTGATGAACACTGATCAGAATTAATGGTTTAGGTTAACTCAGGATTACAGACGGACCAGTTGCTGGTTAGATTCCTGTGCTGTGTGACCTAAGCAGTAAGTTTGGTGAAGATTAGTATTGATCTGTTATCAGGATATTAGTCTGTCTAAAGTAGGCACGATGCAGTGCATTCTGGGAAATGCAGTTCCATCTGTCAGATAGGGCTCCACCTTATCAGTGATGTTGTTGGTCACCTGAACTTCCCTCATGGTGGACATCCAACTCCTCACCTTCTGAACAATGCTTCTAGTTGTTCCCATGAAGATCTCCACCCCTCAGTTTATAAACTCACCTTTAGACTAAAATAGTTCATGGACCTGTCTCTGGCAAAGCTAAAACATCTTTGAAGACCAAAACATCATCTTTCATGAGCTGAGGCGGTGCTCAAACTCTAACCATTGTAGAAACAACACCTGACACTTTAGCCAAATGTACTTAACTCATTTCTATTATGACAAACCAGCACAAGGTTTATTTTGACTGTTTTTATTTATAAATCATTTTACTTTCATTTCAGAACAACTTCTTCCTCTTTTGGGCATGACCTTTCAGGTCTCTCCACAGCCAATCTTCTGCATCTTTTAACCTCAAAACATTTAACTTGGCTGCTCTCTACTGTCTTCTAAGATAAGATAAGAACAACTTTATTTATCCCGAGGGAAATTATTGTGTCATGTACATGCTCAAAGCAGCCGGAGAGACAAAGGAACAGGTGAAATAGAAATATGATATACAATATATACATAAAAAAAATGATCTACAGTAGTACCATGTAGGATAGTGCTAAACAAACAATCACATTTCTCAATAATTAAATACATGCCTGCATCCTTGTGAATAAGTAATTAAGCCGTCGGTGCAGGCGATTCACAAAAGTGATTAAAGTATTGTGTAATAGAATAAGGGTTTGTAGCAGCATATGATATGATGGGGGGATAAAAACATATTTACAATCAGAACTCTGGTAATATTGCACAGTCGATGAGGGCACAGAGTAACCTAGGTAACAGTATTAGGCAGTGGCGGCTGGTGAAAAATATTTTTGGTGGGGCTGTGCTATTTTTTTTAAACAAACTAGTGCTTTCTGAGCTTTGTGCACAACTTCACTATTTCCTGAATTAAGCACAGCTCTTTTATTTCCTGTCTTACATTATTGGACAAAAGGATTAATCCTCATGTGTCTGACTATCGGCACGCTGCCTTGCGGACCAAGGTTGAAAAATACTGCATTAAATTGCACATAAAATAACATGACCATATATGGTCCACATCCACATTACTGTTTGTGAAACTAACATACTGGAGAAGTTCATCACAATAATATTAAATAAACAAGTATGTACCTGATCTTTTGCATGCTGTTGGTGAAGCTCTGGATTACCCCTGTGATGGAGACAGACTCAATGTTCCTCTTCTGCAGCTGGTTGGACAGCATGTCCACATGTGGCATGATCTTGTGACACAATGCCAGCAGAAAGCCGAAATCTTCTTCCTCCAGCATTCTCACAAAGCCTTCTGCCTCTCTCTCAGTGACTATATCAAAGTCATCCGAGTCTCTGATCATCTGGAAACATCTGAGGAGGTCATCCTTGTGCTCATACACTGTGTTGACATCTCTCTCTTGGAAAAAATGTGCCGGTTCTGATCCACTTCTTCATTGTGTTTCTTCACTGCAAGCCTGTGTCCCTCGTCTCTAGCTGCATGGCTATGTTAGCTCTGCCTAGCATAGCTAGCTTCACCGTGTTGTCCATGTGTGCCCGGGATGACTCGTGTTTCTTCACCTTCTCAGAAAAATGTTTCATGTCCGTAACTCCTGACTCAATCCATGCCTCATCTGTCACAGTCGTTTGGAAAGCAAAATAACGCATTAGCGTGATTGCATCCAGCTAGCCAAGCCTTCCCAGAAGCCTTGTGTGTACAGTTTACCTCTCTCCTCCTCCTGCTGGCTTATCTTTACGTCGGGCTGATCTGGTCCAAGCTCTTTGACATTAAGTTTTTCCACCATAGTTCTCCTCTCGAACGGAGTGGAGAAGAGACCGAACTGAATTCAGTGCCTGCTGAGATCCGGTATCCATGCTGCTGCTGGTTGTAGGCGCACTGGCGTCCATGTCTATTACATCTGCGTCACGACCGTCACGAGTCACGACCAAAAACGTGCTGGAGTCGAGAATCTCCGAGTTCTACCGAGCACTAACGAAAGCCTTTGGCGGCAGCTCTATCGCCCATCATGCTTCTGAAACAACGTTGACGCTGATTGGATACATTCCCATTCCTACCCTTTGATTTTCTTGTCAGCAATTGGACGACTGGTCTCGTCCCGTTTGGGCGATTGAAACACAGCACACAGCCTCCACCGCTCGGCAGAGCTCGGCAGAGACCAATATAGAAATATATATATATGATTTATTTTTGTTACAAAACACACAATTAACTTAGAATATGTGATTATTGTTACCGTAAATCCTCTAATACAGGCCCGGGCCTGTATTTGACTCAAGCTCCGCAAGCCCCAGGCCTTTATTGGAGGGAGGGCCAGTATTAGAGGCAGGCCTCTATTTCTATTTGAGCAAAACGAACTACCAGTAGAATGAATAAAAACGGGGTGTCTATTTGAACCTATAAAATACTAGGTTCATTTATTGAACATGTACAGTTACCATAACGTGGTACAGTTTGCATATAAAACATTAACAAGGCTAAATTACAGTAGGGAAATACTGTATTGTAACAAAACAATAGCAAACATACCTGTATTGTATATTAAATGTTATTAAATAATACCGGTATTAGAAAAGGCAACAGCCACCTTACCTCTTCAGTTGTAGCAAAAAATAAAATAAAACCCCTCAAATTCAATTCAATATTTGTCCTGTTTAAAGTAAAAAAAATATATAAAAAAATAATAATCCAATTCACTTTAATCCTCATCCAGTTTGATGGAAAAAAAAATGTGTGTGTGTGTGTGTGGAGGGGGTCCAATTCAGCTTAATCTTCCTCGTCCTCAGTGTCCTCCTCCTCATCTCTCCCTGTCGTCTCCTCATCACTTGCGCCATCCTCTATAACAAGTTCATTATTGAACAGTTCCTCTTCGTCCTCCTCATTCTCCTCTGCACGTCTGTTCTCATCCTGGCGCAGGCGGGCAGTGGTCAGGGCCTGCCGTCCAGCAGCGCAGGGCTGCAAAGATTACCATACATTACATTTTAGTTTAGCTGCAATTGCAAGTAACAGTGGAAAGGTTCACTCACGAATAAATTCATCTAATGGTAGATGAATTAGACTGATAATAATACATTATTTCAACGTACCTGTCCGTCTCTGAAGCACAGTATGAGGTGGTCCTCACTCCCGTCGGGTTTCACAGACTGGCCACACACTTTGAAGGACTTGATGACCAGCTCCGTGTCCAGCTTGTCCCAAGCAGCAAGAACCCAGTCCACAAGCAGACGGCGAGATGGTGCTTTCAGGTTCCCTCCACTTGTTTACTGCTTGTTTGTGTCGCCAGACATCCATTCTTCATAAGACGCATGCAGGCTTACTTTGAAGGGCTGGTTCCACACAACATCGGGGGCTTGTATGTACTTGGTGCAGCCTCCTGGGATCACCGCGGTGGTGATGTTGTAGGGCTTCAGTTCCTGCTTGGTGGAGGTGCTGATGTGACAGTGGTACGCATCCCACACCAGCAGGCGCGGGTGGAAACTGAATTTTCCCACCACTGTTTTGAGCCAGGCTGAGGTCAAGTCGTCATTCATCCAGCCGTTAGCAGATGTAGCAATGACTGCTCTGGTGATTTCTTGCTGCATTGCCTTCACTGCACGGACGGCCCCACGGAAAACAATAAAAGGCTTCAGTTTAGAGCCATCAGCCTTAGCAGCGAGAACAACAGTGAGATGGCTTTTCTCATGGCCGGTTGTTTTGAGCGCGACACTTTTTGTCCCTGTTACATCAATGGTGCTGGGAGACACCATATCGAACCAAACAGCAGTCTCATCCATGGCAATTATGTCCTTCTCTGAAATTCTTTTCGAGACGACAGTCTTACTCACATAGTCAATGAATGAGACAAGTTTCTGTGTGAGAAGATCGGGGTCCTTCTGCGCCATTGTGGTGCGACGTCGCAAAGCGAAGCCAGTTCGGTTCAAAAACTTTTCCAGCCAACCCCTGCTTGCCAGGAATCGCACACCTGCATCACTCATGGTTGGATATATTTCCAAAGCCTTGTTTCGGATCATTTTTTTAGACACTCGGTTATGATTTGCCCTCATTAAATGGATCCAGTTACAAAGCTCCGTGTCCAATTCTTCGCTAATCTTTTTTCTCCCTCCTCCTGGGAGCCTCGCTCGCTTCTTGCTAGCTGCGGCTAGATCCATCTTCTGCTTTTTCCAGTACCTGATTCTTCTTGGGTCGATGTTAAAATGTTTAGCAGCTTGCTCCCCAGAGTGTTCCGCAGCATAAATCAGCACGTTCTCTTTGAACTTTAAATCGAAATTTCGCCTCCTCTTCGGCTCTGCACGCTCCGCACCAGCCATGTTCACCGTAGTTACCCTCGTGGTCTATCACCGGCAAATCAAAAGTGAGACGAATGGCACTACCGCCCCCCTGTGGTACTTGCCTGTTACCACATTCCACCCGGCCACAATAAGAGACCGGCCACTATTCACCTCAGCCGACTCCGACACCGGCCACAATTGGAGACCCGGCTTTTAATTGAATACCGGCCTGTATTAGAGGATTTACGGTAATTTTATTTATTTACTTTTTTAAATAAAAATTAAAAACACTGGGGAAACTGGGAGGGCGGCGCCCTATCGCCCTCTACTGGCCAACTGCCACTGGTATTAGGAGAATCACCTACAGGGTGAGGAAGAGTTAAACAATCCTATTGCCACCGGTACGAAGGATTTCCTGTGGCAGTCAGTTCTGCATTTCGGGGCAATGAGTCTTTTGCTGCGTGTGCTTCAGTGGTCTATCATGTGGGCATGCATGGGGTGGGAGGGGTTGTTCATGATAGAGAGTAACACATAACACTGCATTCTCGGAAAACTTTCTCTGTCCTTGTTAGCGTCGCGATCTCCTCCATCTTATTAGCCAGCGATCTGACATTGCCAGTAACCACAGACGGGAGAGCAGGACAGAATCTTTTCCTCCTCAGTCTTCGCGTTTTCCCCGCTCTGCAGCCACGGTAGTTCCTCTTGATCACCGCGGGAATCTCATGCTGAACGCCGACATGGCTGTGCTGTCTTAGCCCCAGCAACTGGTCGCGGCTAAAGACAAAGGGGCAGTGTGGCGTCGCGGTAATCTCAGTTGTTTTGCGCCGAGTTTCACATCCAAACAGCACAAAAAGAAAAAACTTCTCGACTACACAAGAAGTAACTAAAAAAACACAAAAAAAGAACGAAAGGGGAAAGTAGTTTTTCAACTGCAGAGAGCATGTTAGACAGGCTGCCGTCCGAGACGGCGCCGGAAGTCGCCTAGCAGATCTACTCTGAGCCCCTCGTAGATGGCTGAAACCCTTTAATCACACCCATCCACTTTCTCCCGTATAGTCACGGTTGGGTCACGGTGTCAGTAGCTAAAGCAGAGAGGCCCAGACTTCCCTCTGCTCAGCCACTTGGGTCACATCTTCCAGGGGAATCCCAAGGTGTTCTCTGGTCAGGCAAGAGACATAGTCCCTCCAGCGTGTCCTGGGTCTCCCTTTAGGTCTCCTCCCAGTTGGACGTACCCAGAAAACCTCATCAAGGAGGCGTCCAGGAAGCATCCTAATCAGATGCGCAAGCCACCTCAATTAGCTCTTCTCGATGTGGAGGAGCAGCAGATCTACTCTGAGCCCCTCGTAGATGGCTGAGCTTCTCACCCTAAATCTAAGGGAGAGCCCAGACACCCTACAGCGAAAATTAATTTCATCCACTTGTATCCGCAATCTCCTTCTTTTGTCACTACCCAAAGCTTGTGACCATAGGCTAGGATGGGAACATACATAGATCAACTGGCAAATCAAAGCTTTGCCTTCCGGCTCAGTTCTCTCTTCACAGTGACAGGTCAGTACAACACCCACATCACTGCAGATGCAGTACCAATCCGTCTATTGATGTAGTGCCCCTCCACATCTTACCCTCACCTTTGTTTAAAAGTGCTTTTCAGTCCATCGGTCCCAGCGTGCTCTCTATAATTAATGCTTCTCTGGTCTCTGGTCAGGTCCCTGCTTACTTTAAGAACGCTGTAATCCACCCGCTTCTTAAAAAACCGAGTCTGGACCCCTCTCTCCATAGCAGCTTCAGACCCATCTCTAAACTTCCGTTCATCTCCAAGATCTTGGAAAAGGTTGTGGCTAAACAACTCACAGCTGCTCTTGATGAACATAACATCTATGATAGCTTCCAGTCAGGTTTTCGTAGAGCTCATTCTACTGAAACAGCTCTTCTTAGTGTCTCTAATGACCTTCTGACCCACAGTGATGCAGGGGACGGTTCTGTTCTGGTCCTGCTGGACCTGACTGCAGCCTTTGACACTGTTGACCATCACCTGCTACTGGAGAGGCTGAGAGACTGGGTAGGCCTATCAGGATCTGCTCTGGAGTGGTTCTCCTCTTATCTCTCTGAGCGTAGCTTCTCTGTGGCCGTCTCCAAGTTTAGGTCCTCCACCACCTCCCTTACCCATGGTGTCCCACAAGGTTCTGTGCTGGGGCCTCTGCTCTTCCTCCTCTATCTGCTTCCTCTTCAGCACATCCTGAGCTCCTTCAAAGGAATCTCCTACCATCTTTATGCAGATGACATCCAACTGTACATCTCCTTTAAGCCCCATGAGATGTCTAAGCTGCAGCTGTTACACACCTGCTTAGACTCTATCAAAACCTGGATGGTGGGAGCTTTCTTCAGCTGAATGAAGATAAGACTGAGATCCTCATCTGTGCCCCAGACAAGCTGGTTCCCAAAGTCAGAGACTCTCTTGGTCAGCTTGCTTCCCACACCAAACCTTCTGTCAGGAATCTTGGCGTGACCTTTGACCCAGCTCTCACCCTGGATTCTCATGTCAGTTCTCTTGTTGGCTCTTCCTTCTTCCATCTCAGGAACGTTGCTAAGCTGAGTCCCATTCTGTCCCGCTCTGAACTTGAGACAGTTCTCCACACCTTCATCTCCTCACGCTTAGACTACTGTAACTCTCTTTTCACGTGTCTGAGCAGAACCTCCCTGAACCGTCTACAGGTGGTTCAGAACGCCTGTGCTCGGCTTCTGACCAAGTCCTCCAAACACACCCACATCACCCCGCTTCTCCTCCAGCTTCACTGGCTGCCAGTCACCTTCAGGGTTCATTTCTAGATCCTGGTTCTGGTCTATAGGGCCTTACATGGACAAGCACCATCTTACATTGGTGATCTTCTTAGTCCCTACACCCCCAGCAGGTCCCTGAGGTCCAGTGATCAAAGCCTACTGGTTGTGCAGCACCAGGCTAAAGGTCAAAGGTGACAGATCATCTGCTGCTGTGGCCCCCAGACTCTGGACCTCTCTCCCCCTGAGCCTGAGATCAGTGGACTCAGTGGTCTCCTTTAAAAATCAGCTGAAGACTCACTTGTTCAAGCTGGCTTTTGGATGACCTTCTTCACCTCTCTCTCTTTATTCTGCTCTCCCCACCTATTCCACCTTCCTCAGGATCCACTGGTTTCCCTCTTTCCTGTTCACTCTCTCTCTTTCTTAACATTTTTTATCACAATTGTTTATTTTTGCTCATTTTAAATATATTTTTAAACATTTTCTAAATGCTTTTTTATATTTTAACATTTTCTGTTTTTGTGAAGCGCCTCGTGATTTTTATCTTGAGAGGTGATATAGAAATGATATTTTCTTCTTCTTCTTCTTCTTCGTGCTCCATCTTTCCCTCACTGTGATGTGAAGTACCCTTCACAGGACCCTCAAGGGACATGGACGAACGCCTTCTCCAAATCTCCAAAACATATGTAGATTGGTCGGGTGCACTCCCACACACCCTCCAACCCCCCCCCAAGCCCCCCCCCCCCCCCCCCAAGCCCCCCCCCCCCCCCCCCAGGTACAGAGCTGGTCCAGTGTTTCACGGCCAGGAAAAAAACCACATTGCTTCTCCTAAATCCAAAGTTCTACTATTCGACAGATCCTCCTCTTCAGAATAAATGAAAAGACTTTAACAGGGAGGCTCAGGAGTGTGATCTCCTCTAGACGGAAACCACTCAACGGTCCCCTGTTTTAAATAAGGGTACCGGCACCACCCCAAACTGCCAATCTAGTGGAACTGCTCCCGATGTCCACGTGATATTGCAGAGCCGTGTCAGCCAACACAGCCCCACAACATCCAGAGCCTTAAGGAACTATGGGCGATCTCATCCTTCCCTAGAGCATTGCCACCGAGGAGTTTTTTGACCACCTCAGTGACCTCATCAACAGAGATTGGAGAGCTCAACCCAAAGTCCCTGGACTCTGCTTCCTCACTGGAAGACGTGCTGGTGGGATTAAGGAGGTCTTCAAAATACTCTGCCCGCCGATCCACAATGTCCCGAGTTGAGGTCAGAAGCACACCATCCCCACTATAAACAGTGTTGGTAGTGCACTGCTTTCCCCTTCTGAGGTTCCAGATGGTGGATCAGAATGTCCTCGAAGCCGGATGGAAGTTGTGCTCCATGGTCTCACCGAACTTCTCCCTCGCCCGGGTTTTTGCCTTTGCAACCACCTGAGCTGCATTCTGCTTGGACTGCTAGTGTTGAGAGAAATTTTGTTTCCCTAAAATATTCTGTTTCTCCTAATAACGTTGGCAAATCAAGTACAAATATTTACTAATTTACAGGACTTATTGTCCATTCTGAGAGGACTAAACAACCTCAAATAAAAGATGGTTAATCTAAGTGAGATTACATCCTTTTACATAACTTTCAAAAATGATAATCAAACCTGCTGGAAAAGAGTTGCTCGTGGCGGATTCTATTCTGTCTGGTTAGGGTGAACAAATATGACACAATTCTCATGCGACTATGATTCTCTCTGAGGTAAAAAGAACACAAAACTGCAAAATAAAATAAGAAAACTAACAAAACAACTATGTTTTTACTATACTTATTTGTTGTTTTTAGGAGGACATATAGGTTAAATAAAACGTCAGAAGCATGTGTAACCCATGTTATCCAGACCTGCAATACCTGAGCTGTTTGCTAGGAGCGCCACAGGACATAACTGACCCAATATGATGTTCCGGTTCTCTGGTTTTGACTGCTGTGCATGGCTTAGAGGACTCGGATTCCCTAATCATTTGGATCGTTTGGATTTTTCTTTGCATTCTGTTAAGCAAGATGCTTCTTACCACTTTGGATGCTTGAGGTTTATATGTGCCCACTCTTTGGAGTGAGACCGGAGAAACCAGATGAATCAGCATAGGAATTCAGGATAAACGGTCAGGCTTTTATATAGACCCAGAGCTTTCTATGAGAGTGGCGAGCCTCAACTGAACTGAACCCAAGACTTTGAATGCTTTCTTACGTGGAAGTTGAATAATTCTTTCCTGGACCCCCCCAAAAAAGGAACCAGATGAACTTTGGAAAATAAGGATTTTTTTTGTTGTTTTCTTTGTGTACTTTGTTTTCATTCATGAATGTTTGGTCAGTGTAAATTGTTGCTTTGTTTATGCTTTTCTGTTTAATTAAGATTCTTTGTTTTGAACCACTGTTGAGCTTTTTTCCACATCACAAGCTCCAGTGTTAAATCTTTTGACCTGAGTAAACAGTCGTCCATTGCTGTACTTTGCCCTACGTACCAACAAATATGAGTTACACATGACATTATTATATTAAGTCATTTTCCCGTAAAAGTTGATCACAAATGGTTTAAAGATAGTCTGAAGTTCGACCATCCGACGTGAGGAACAGAATATTTCAGGGGAACAGAATTTCTCACACCGGTGTTCTGACTATCTGTGCTTCCTTGTTGAATCTTCCTACAACAGCGCGTTACGGCAGTTTTGCTCTTGTGTACAGTAACACGCCTATTAAGCACGTATTTTTTAAATAGGTGATATTACTGAAAAATATAGAATTGTAGTATAATTATTAGCATAAACAAACAGTGTTTGTCATGATTTACTTGTGAAAAAGACCGTGATTGTCACGATTCTGTGAATGACTGTAAACAATGGGAGAAATTTCTTGTTTGCAGTATCATAATGACAACAATATTTTACAAGCCATTTACAAGTTAACTTTCAGGTAAACATACAACAAGCAGTGATATAACAACTTCCAGAGGTAGCGCGTCTCTTCAGCTGAACATCCTGTGATGTAATAGTCAGTCTGCGCGTTTCCCCAAAGTAGCGCATATGGACGAGTAGCACGGGCAGTCGGAACACCGGTACCTATCACCTGCCACCATTGAAGCCAACTCACCACCAGGTAGGGATCAGTTGACAGCTCCGCCTTTCTCTTCACTCGAGTGTCTAAGGCATGCGGCCGCAGATCAGATGAGACGACAACAAAGTTGATCATTGAGCTGCAGCCCAAGGCATCCTGGAGCCAAAAGCACACATGCACACCTTTATGCTTGAACCTTTTATTGCACATGACACTTTTCTCTAACCATTCCAACAAGGGGTGGGAATTGATGAGTGTTTATCAATATCAACGGCATTGTCGATTCTGTCCATCGATCCAATTGCTCAGTTCCAAAATAGTTAACTAGGTGGCATAAAACTAACTGCACACGGCTCCTGCCATATAGTTGTCAGTTTCTTTATGATAAATAATCAGTTGTACCTGTATCGGTTGGAAAGATCTTTCCAAATGTTCTCCTTTATGCTCCCTGTGAAGGCAGCCATCTTGTTCGGTGCCGTGTTGCTGCACCTTTTGCAGAGTGGGAAAAATCTCACCACAGGTCAGACCTTTGTAGCTGCAGTCTGCTAGTGTCTGGGTGTGTATATAAGGCTAATGTGATTAACAGTGTTAGTTGGTTAGTTACCTGCAGTATTAACAGGAGAGGACGTGTGAACATCACTGCTGTTGCTGCGTTGATGTTCACTAGTCCGGAGCGGCACAAAACACGTCATTAGCTCTAAGTTATTGTGTATTTTGTGCCCAAAGGCTTTTGTATAATCGTAGTGTTTCCTCTCTTGATGGAATATCCACTTTGCAATTATTGCAAGTTCCCCTGTTGTCATGCTCTCTTGTAAAAAATAACCAAACTTTCAAGTGGCTGTGCCACTTAGACGCCATGTTTCCTGCTTCCATAAGCTATGTAGCATGCGGTGACGTCATTTGCGCCGACTGGGATTGATAAGGGGCATCGTTTGCTAAAGTGGTGAACGATTCCTGGGAATTGAAACAACCCTAATTCCAACATGCTTCACACACTTCTCTTTTCCTCCCTCTCTGTAGCTTTAGAACGTAGACATTACGTCCTAAAGAACATCTTTGTAGATTTTAAGAGAACGTTTTCTAGTACGTCTCATTGGCTGAATAAACCTGGTGGGTATGAATTGTTTACTGCAGGTGTGTGGAGGACCACGGCCCCCATTGAGAGGTTTTCTCTGCTCCAACACACCTGCTTGTAATCAGCAGTTGATCATCAGGCTTCTGTGGGTCTTGTTGAGCTTCTGAAAAGGTGATTCAGCCACAGAATCAGGTGTGCTGGAGCAGAGGGACAGCTGGAACATGCTAGATGGGGACCGTCAAGGACTGGGGTTGAAGACCCCTGGTTCTCCAGGTCTGGTCCCTGATCTCAGACAGTCTGTTTTACTCTTTGACAGGGGCTGATAACTCCATTCACATGAGGTGGCAATAGGCAGGTATTACCTGCTTAGCCGCTGTCTGATTGGTGGTTCATGATGATTGCTACAGGAGGCCTGCTTAGAATTAATGCACGGCGACAGGACTCTCTGAGGTCCAAACCACATCCACCAAAGAAAAAGATCAAGAAAAAAAGGTAGAACACACTCATAAGCTCTCACTCTCAGAAGTCATGTTACACTTCCATGTCTGATGATGTCATTTCCTGTCTTTTACTAGACTTAGTGAGATTGTGGTGGTGAAGGGAAAGTTGAAGGTATGCTCTGTATCGGGTCTTGTGGCGGTTCTTGGCATCCTGGTCCTACTGGTCGGTGTTCTTATGGCAGCTCTAGGTTACTGGCCTCGTGATGGACTGTTCTCAATTACTCAGCCACAGGAGGGTGCTGCTATGGCTTTAATGTCTTCCAGCATCCCAACATCTGCCCCCACTGACATCAAGGTAAGAGCGTTCCTGACTCGAACCCATCCTACCTAAAAACAGGATCGTTTAAGGACAGTACAGGTGAAATCTGAAAAGTGAGAACATGGTGCAAAATCCAGCTTAGACTGAGAGACCATCTAAAGGCCCAAGAACCCTCTGCAGGTGTTCTAGATTCATTCGCTGATTAGAGACAATATGAGTCTAGAATATGAGCCTTTTCACAATATTCCAATTATCTGAGATGTTTAATGTGTGGTTTTCATCAGCTGTAATTCATCAGTTTTAACAACGAAAGGCTGAGACATCTGGCTGGGCATGGGATGAGTCCGTCTCATAGGTTAGTTTCACCTTTTAGGCTGGATTACTGACAAAAATGAAATTTTGTGCCAGATTCTAGTTTTTCTAGTTTCACCTGTACTGCAGCTTTTCTTTTCACACCGTTGGTATTTGGGTTGACAACAGAGTCCTGCTTTGATGTTGCTGATGCGCCTCTGAAGGGATTTTTTGTCTAATTCAGAAAGAGGTGAGTGAAGGGGAGGAGCCAGAGGGAGACCAGGGAAACGGCAGACAAGGACAGAATGATAACAAGGGGGAATATACCTTTTTGAACCAAACAGAAACCATCAATGAGACAACCCCGCAGCTTCCCCGCAGCTTCCTGCAGGAGTTCCTGGACAGGTAGCAGGTTTCTGATCTGAGATCAGCTTTTCTTACAGCGCTATCAGGAGCTCTGTCCAGTGTGACATGTTAAGGTCTCTGACTGGCTGTGTGACCTGTCTTTGCAGATATCTGTATTCTGATAGGCTGAAGGTGCTCGGCCCACTCATCATGGGAATAGGGATCTTCCTCTTCATCTGTGCCAACGCCGTCCTGCATGAGAACCGTGACAGGAAGACAAAGGTCATCAATTTGCAGGACATTTATTCTACCGTCATTGACCTCCACAGCATTCACAAGCCCCACCCATCATCCTCTGGCTCCGCCCATCCACCATCAGCCAGTCCGCACAATGGGCTTTTTAACTTTGTCCAACCTAAGCGCTTGAACTCAAAGCCATGGACTTGTTCCGCCTCCCTCCTTTTATCAAGGGAATCTGCCAGCAACAGGCGGGGCAGCGATGGAAGAGGGGGTGCAGTCTTCAGTATATACCAGGAGCAGCCAGAGGCACCTCATCTTTCATCCTCCAACAGACACTCACTACCACTGACCTTCAGTCCTTCCTGGTTTTCCAACCAGAAGGAGGTGCTCAGCTCCTTCACTTTACCTCGACCTCGCCAGCGGTCCCTGGACTCCCGCAGGAGACACTCGTTCTGGGCCAGAACCGGCCAGGAAGGGGAGGAGAAGGAGGAGCAAAGGAAGGGTATCGGACCACCAGTTTTGTGCACCTTCACAGCCCCCCATCATAGAGGCTCAAAGGCAATGCTCCTCCTGTCCTCCTCCTCCCTTTCCTCTCTTTCTTATCTTCTTTCCTCTTCCACACCAGCCCCCCTTTCCAGAAGGCGGAGCCTCCCAACAACTGCCTTCAAAGTCACCTACAGCAAATTAACTCATGAAAGGGGGAAGAGTTTAGAGTGCTCTTCATCACATCAAGTGACTTCAGAGGAAGTGACATCACAGGAGAAATGCATCAACAGGCAGAGGCTAAGAATGATGTCCCACCAGGGCACAGGGGTGAGGAATGAGGAGGAGGTTCCAGATCATCATGTGACCCTCTGAGATGAAGTAGAAAAAACTGTTTTCTAGCTTAATGCTGTCTCTACCCCCTCCCCTCTCTCTCTCTCCCTCTCCCCTCCCCTTTCTCTCTCTCTCCCTCTCTCACCTGAAATTGTCTCCTAACAGAGAAACACTCCTGATCAGAACCGCTGTGGTTGTTCTCATGAAGGTGTTTCTATGTTCTCACAGGAACAGTCAGAACCAACAGGACAGTTTTCTGTTAGAATGTGTGTTCTTCATTCAGACCCAGCACCTGTCATTGGACCTGCTTCTACCTGCTACAGATCAGATGGTAGGAAAGCGGAACGTGTAGCTTCACAAAGTCTTCCTCTGAAACAGCAACACCATCAACCAATCAAAATAAAGCACAGTCTAATCCATCTATCCTGCTTCTTCTGTTAACGGTTGCTGGTCTTGTCTCAGAGTCGGTGTTACTAACATATGGTTTATTTTAGGGTGTGAGAAATCTTCCTCCAAAATATTCATTTAGTTATTTAACTTATATTTTATGAGGATAGAAATTGCTTGAGATGTGGCATAGCAGATAAGACAGCAGAGCAATTTACATATTAAATAAAAGAAAATAAAACCCCTCATTTAATAATTAGAGTCCATCTTCGGAGCATCAGATCTGAGATTTATGGAAGAGGTAATGAAGGTAAACAGCCCGAGACTTTTGGGGCTCAGGAGGTAGAGCGGGTTATCCAGTAATAGGAAGGTTGTAGGTTTGATCCCAGCTCTCACCGGAGACAACTGCTGTCGTTGTGTCCTTGGGCAAGACACTTAACACACCCTGCATGCTGGTGCTGGTCGGAGGGACCGGTGGTGCCTGTGCTCGGCAGGCCTCACCTCTGTCCGTGCGCCCCAGGGCAGCTGTGGCTACATCGTAGCTCATTGTCACCAGTGTGTGAATGTGTGAATGACTGTGTTGTGAAGCACCTTGGGGGGTTGTACAATCCTAGAAGGCACAATAGATGCAGGCCATTTAGGATCAGGTTCTGAGTTTATCCGGACAGAACGTCTTGAGAAAGTTTTAAAAGAAAATGTTGTTGCTTTTAAAGGTCATGGTCACCCTACAAACAGCAGAAAGCAAAGAAGTCAAGGCATTTATAAACAACAGACGATTACGTTATTTAAATACTTAATGTTTATTTAAAGTAGCCTGAACTGATGATTTAAGTAAGGCTGAAGTGTTTCAGCTGGAATATGAGCTCAGGACCGCAAGACGAGCAGAAGAGACCATAGGTGAATATCACAAAGGTATGGAGGTGGGTTGAGGGGGAAAAAACATGATGCAATAACAAGTTATCAGCAAACATGGGTGGAGGTCAGGAGAGGAAAGCAGAGGCAAAACTCATCCATTTCAGAGTCATTTTACAAGACATCCTGGCCCGCTAAAAGCCTTTCTTCTAAAGAAAAATAAAAGATGTGTGCGCCTTTTTTTTTTAACTACAGCTAAAAAACTACAGCAGTACAGTCGGCATTTCCATCTTTTTTCTGGTTGGTTTTTGAGCTGCCTAGTCCCGCCCCTCAAGTGCCGCTCTGCCTGTGAGTTACCAGACTCTTTCTCTGTGCAGAACTAAAGAGAGGACGAGTGTGGCAGGCCAGGCTACCTGCTCAGGGCTAGGTTTATGTTTATGTTTATGTATTTAGCAGACGCTTTTGTCCAAAGCGACTTACAAGTGATAATCGGCATGTTGCCCTTGAGGCTAACAACAACAACGTGACATCAGTCATGGAGAGGAGGGAACAAGGAGTGGACAGTAGAGAGGGGGGACGGGTGCAGGGAGGGTGCTAGTTTAGAAGATGCTCTCCGAAGAGCAGGGTCTTCAGGAGTTTCTTGAAAATTGAAAAGGAAGCCGCTGTTCTGGTAGTGCTCGGAAGGTCATTCCACATTTGTGGAACGATGCATGAGAAGAGTCTGGATTGTCCTGAGCGTGGTGTAGGCACCGCTAGCCGATGATCCTGTGATGACCGGAGCGGCCGGGCCGAGACGTAAGCCTTTGCAAGAGGATTCAGGAAGATGGGAGCCGTACCATCTCAGACTTTGTATGCTAGTGTTAGCAATTTGAATTTCAATTAGGTACTCAGAATGGCTCAGTAGAGTTGCCACTTTATATTATATTTTTACATTGATTAAATTCTTACTTCCTACACTTGATTATCTCTTATTTTTATCTTTCTTTTCTGGCACCAAGTACCGCAGCAATTTCCTAATGTAGTGATTTTGGCACATATGGAAATAAAACCTGATTCTGATTGGTTGTAACTCGGCAACTGACATTAGTAAAATTAGAAACGCTGCTTGTGAAGCAGAATGGAAGCACAAGCAAAAAAGCTCTAGCCGTTCTTCACCAAAAACATGTTGAAAATCACAAGGAAAGGCAGTGATGAGAGGTAAAATAATCTCTCATCACATAAGAAAAAACAGAGAAAAAACGTATTCAGGAGTTAGAAGAAATCATTAAGTCTTTAGAGGCATCCACAGAAGAAGAGTTAATGAGCAAATTACGTAAAGCTAAACTAGAACTTCTTGGAATTATTGACAAAAAGACAATTTTTAGCACAAAGACTACGAATAGAAAACTTTGAACATAGTAATAAATCAGGTAATTTTTAGCTAGCCAGTTAAAAATAAATAAAGAGAAAACTACCATATCTGCTGTTAAAGACTCAACCGGGAATATAGTATATGACCCTGAAAGAATAAACAACACCTTCAGAGACTTTTACCAAACTTTGTACTCACCACAGATAAACCCATCAGATAGCGAGATCGATGAGTTCCTTGACAGGATAACACTTCCTAAATTGGGGGCGATGGTGGCACAGGAGTTAAGTGCTCGCCTCGCAATTGGAAGGTCGCAGGTTCGAGACCCGCTCAGTCTGTCGCTGTCGTTGTGTCCTTGGGCAAGACACTTAACCCACATTGCCTGCTGGTGGTGGTCAGAGGGACCGGTGGCGCCAGTGCTCGGCAGCCTCGCCTCTGTCAGTGCGCCCCAGGGCAGCTGTGGCTACATTGTAGCTCATCCCCACCAGTGAGTGAATGTGTGTGTGAATGGGTGAATGACTGATTGTGTTGTAAAGCGCCTTGGGGGGTTTCAAGACTCTAGAAGGCGCTATATCAAATACAGGCCATTTACCATTTACCATTTAAATTATCAGACAGCCAAGTTACAGTCCTGGACTCGCCACTAACATCAGCGGAGCTCCAGGAAGCCCTTAAATCCATGACGAATAGGAAAGCTCCAGGTCCAGACGGGTTCCCAGTAGAATTCTACAAAGAATTCTGGATCATTCTGGCTCCAACATTTTTCAGAAAGGTGAGGGAAATCGAAGAGAGCGGCAGATTACAGCCAAACATGAACTCAGCCAATATTAGTCTCTTGTTAAAACCAGGCAAAGACCCGGCATTTCCTACCAGCTATCGCCCAATTTCTCTTATTAATGTTGATCTCAAAATAATTTGTAAAGCCCTGGCAAAAAGATTAGAGAAGGTAACCCCCTTCATAATACACCCTGACCAAACTGGTTTCATTAAAGGTAGACAGTCATCCACAAACTCACGTAGATTACTTAATTTGATAGATTTCTCTTACAGTAGAAACATAGAAACTAGTATATTATCTCTAGATGCAGAAAAGGCTTTTGATAGAGTTAACTGGAAGTTCTTATTTGCAACTTTACATAAATTTGGTTTTGGGAACTTCATAAACTGGCTACAAACATTATACAGTTCACCAACAGCACGTGTCAGGACGAACGACCAAATATCAGCTAGCTTCTGTCTTCAGAGGGGGACCAGGCAGGGATGCCCACTCTCCCCCTCACTATTTGCTATTTTTATCGAACCACTAGCAACAGCAATTAGGCAAACAACAGATATTAAAGGGATAAAGTGTAAGAAAATAGAACATAAGATCAGTCTTTATGCAGATGATGTTTTACTCTTTCTCCAGAATCCTCAATCCTCTGTCTCCCAAGCAATAGAACTGATAAACTCTTTTTCCAGAGTTTCAGATTACTCTATAAACTGGTTAAAATCCACAGTTCTACCAATTAATTTCTCTTTTGTCAATTTACTTAATACACAATTGGTGTCAGGGAATATCACATACCTGGGAATTTATGTATCTCCCAAGTTAGCAGATCTAACCAAACTAAACTACATCCCACTTTTAAAGAAAGTGGAAGATGATCTTGCAAGATGGAAATCCTTAATAATATCACTCATGGGGAGAGTTGCTACAATTAAAATGATGGTCTTACCCAGAATAAATTACTTATTTTCAATGATCCCAAACAAACTACCAGCTGACTGGTTTAAATCTCTGGACTCCTCAATTACCAAATTCCTTTGGCAGGATAAACCTCCACGGATTAGCTTAAAAACGCTTCAGAAGACCAAAGACAGAGGAGGACTGCATCTGCCCAACTTTTATTATTATTTCTAAAGCCAGGCGGACACTGTGCGACTTTTTCACTCGCAGCATTCAGCTTCAGCTCAAACTGTACGACATCCTCGCAGAGCAGATCTCACGAGTCATGTGCTCACACTGTACGACCCAGTTCTCGCATGCGACCTGACTGCTCACACTGTACGTCTGTCTTTACTCAACACGTCAGACTTTTTTGTCTTGTTTTGCCTGTCCTTCGGGAGTGCTGCAGGAGGACACAGGGATTTATGGGGGTTGGATGAGTAAAACGGTGTTTAGTGATCAGTTTAATTTGACATGAACACGACAAACACGCTTTCTTGACAATCTTTGTGAGTAAAAAACGTGTAGAAACAAAAACGAACAACGTGTGTTATTAGGGAAATAGTGAGCGAGCGGCGTTGATGCAGGATTGCGCATGCGCCGTGAGCGGTTCTGGTACATTTTGGGTCGCAGCTGCTCGCAGCGCCGCTTCAACAGTGCGATACCCTCACGAGGGACGAGCAAAATATTAAACACGCCAGAAGTCCGTGCGACCTCACGACTGCTGATCGGCAGCTGGTCACGTGGTGTTAATCGCCTCTCGTAACCCCCTGTACACTACACGACCGCTCGGCGCAAAACTCGCCCCGATGTCGTGGATTCTCGCACGACTGGAAAATCGGCTCAAAAAAGTGAAAAAGTCGCACAGTGTATGCCCGGCTTTAACCAACAGGCTGCAATATATACCAAGATGGTTGCAAGATAACCCACTAGACGAGTCCTGGTTAGATATAGAACAGACACTTTGCAATACGATAGAGCTTTCAGACTTACCATTTATTAGCTCAAGCATAAGAAAACACGAAGGCATTAAAAGTATTAGTATCAGCACCTCTCTGACAGCATGGTGGGAGTATCTTAAAATGACCGAGTCTTCACTAGTACCATGCAGACGCACACCTATCTGGAATATCCTGATATTTTGTAAAATAATAAAATGATGAACCTTCCGGACTGGAAAAATAAAGAAATCCTATACCTGGAACACATATATGAAGGATTGGACTTCATCCCATTTAATAGAATAGTCTCCCAATCTGGAATGGATAAGAATAGCTTTTTAGAATATCACCAAATTAAATCTGTAGTCAAACAAAAATTTAAGCTCAATAAAATAGAATTACAAACACCACCAAGGGTATTAGAGTTCTATAATCTCAAACCCCCCAAACTACTGTCTAAAGTATTTAAGACACTGTCCAAAATAGACGATAAAATTGCAATCCCTATTGAAAAATGGGAGGTGGATCTATCAGTCAGCTCTGACCAGAACTTCTGGTCCCAAACTTGTTTAAAAACTTTTAAAATGATCAGACACTCCAATTTACAATTAATTCAGTACAAAATTCTACACTGAGTACACTATACAGGTCATCGGATGTTCAAGATGGGGTTTGTGTCATCTGACACCTGTACACACTGCACAAACAACGTTCCTGACAATTACATTCATGCACTGTGGTCCTGCCCACCTGTCCAGGAATTTTGGGGTAGAGTATGTGAGGATCTGCCAAAGTCTCTGAAATGTCATATCCCAACCACCCCTCTCTTTGTTTACTGGGAAACCTGGACGATGTCCCGATTGAAACATCTGTGGTTCACATGGTTCTGACTGCCATATGCATCGCTAAGAAAACTATCCTCTTGAATTGGAAAAATAGAGAAACTCTCTGCATTAACCAGTATAGAAATCTTTTGTTAGATCATATTGCACTTGATTTAGCCTCCGCTTCCACTTCAGATCAATGTGAGCACATTCAACGGCATTTGGCAGGGGGATTTCTCAGCCTCCTCCCGGGTGCCGGTGCCCACTTCCAATTTTAAACCGCACTTAGACACCGAGGACTGAGGGTGTAAGTGGGGTGGTGCGGTGGCATCAGCTGGCATTGGCCGGATGATGCCCGCACTGCCCGCTCACCACAGCCATGGAATACACCTCATGATCACACAACACTATATTGGAGCAGGCGGAGGGAGACTAGGGGTCTTAGCCACCTCTGTTGTTGCTTGGCTTCCTGGGGCTGGAGGCTAGGAGGGAGCGTTGGGCGGGGGAGCCTGCTCATCAGCACCCCAGCAGAAAGGGTCAAACTCTGGTTACCGGTGATGGTTGTACCCAATGTGCAGCAGTGCCGGGACCAGAGTGAATAGGGTGTGTATGGGGAGCATAAGTGGGTGTCCGGCGTGCATCTTTGTAAGTCTTGGGTTGTATGTGCATGTGTGAGCATGGGGGAGGGAGTGTGTGACTGTGTTTGTGTATGACTGTATATGTCAGGTGGGACCTTTGACTCCTCCCCTCTCCTTGAACTTCTCTTGATGATATAGATCTGTGTCCCCCCTCCCCCTGCCACACCTGGTGTGAGGGTTTGTGCCTTGGTCTGCCTGAGTGTTCGTGGCAACCGGGTCTAGGGGTTTAAGATTTTGGCATCTGCCTGATAGATCCCGGTGGCTGCCTGGCTGGGTCTGGGTCCCTGGGCTCTGCTGGGTCCCCGGCGGGGGTGGTCGCCCCTGGGTCCCGGGTTGCTGGGTCCCGGGCTCGGCCGGCTAGGCGGTGGGATGCTGCGGGCGGGCCTGTGGGCTTGCCGCTGATGTCTCCCGGGACTCTGCCGGCTGCTGGTTGTGGCCCCCTGGGGCGATCCTCTGTGCCTCTCGAGGGGGGCGGGGGCCTTTCTGGTTGCAGTCTCCTTGGGGTTCCTGTGTTCTTGGGCAGCGCCTGGATCTCTGGGACTTGGAGCTCCCTCCATCTCCTGCGCATCTTTGGGGGGCGGATCTGTGGTCCCTCACACTCTCTGTTGGACGCTCCTATAGAGAAACCTTACATAAACAAGCGCGTGTACACACACAGGTGCTCACATGGTGCTCTCAAAAGTATGGGCTTGGGCACGTTAAACACAGGTCTTAAGACTATGGTGGGCACTTAATGCACTGTGATTTATTATCGTGATTCTTCAGTTAAGCAATGTTGATTATATATTTCTTCATCAAGTTGACGCAGTGATAGCTAGATCTTGTTGTATTGTTGTTGTACCCCCTTTTTTTGTTCTTTTGCTTTTTTTGTCTCTTTCTGCAGGTCTAGAAGCAGACTCTTGTTCATTATTGTTTATTTTTGTGGAACCCCCCCCCCCCCCCCCCCCCCCCCCTTTTGTCTTTTCCTTTCTCTTTCACCTCTGTCTCCATGTCTGGTCGGAATTACAAAGCATTCAACAACAATAACAATAAAGTTTTAAGTATCAGGCGTGACATTAAAAGCAGACGCTTTGATGCTCCACCTGAGAGTAAATCTGTAAGGCTTGTTTCCAGCATTCAGACATCAATTCTGCTTGCTTCACAGCCAGACAGGGCACAGTAAAATAAATGAATAAATAAAAAAATAATAATAATAATCACAAGGCTTTGTTGTCTCACAGAGCACCCTAAAAAACTGCAGTTCTTCTGGCCATTGAACGCCACATTTTACATCATGCAGCTGTTCTTGTGCTATGAATGGATGAAATCATGCTGTCCTTCAACAGAATAACACTTTAATGTTATTAATGTCTGTGGATGCTTCTTAGTGCTGATCAATGACATCACTCATTGCCTAAGAAGTTGTGATATGCTTGCATCGGTGCAAGGTCGTGAAAGGGCGGAAATTGGATCGAGACACAACAGCTGAGAGGATTGGGACATTGTACTGTATCTCCCTCTCAGTTTGCTGGTGAAGGTTCTCAGTCATCCATATCGTGGTAATCCAAAGGTTTAGATGAAGGCAACTGGACTTTTTTGGATTCTTGAAGACGTTTTGCTTCTCATCCGAGGAGCTTTGTCAATTCAATTTACTGGGATGTTGTGTTTGGAGAATCTTCTCCAAACACAACATCCCAGTATACTTTACACCCAACAACCCCCTCAGACAGAAACTGGTCCATCCTAAAGGCAAAACACCCAAACAGAAGCTCAGTGGGGTCGTTTATGCAGTCCAGTGTAGCGAGGACTGTCCAGATGTTTACATCGGGGAAACTAAACCACAATTACACAAGCGCATGGCACAACACAGGAGAGCCACCTCTTCAGATCAGGACTCTGCAGTCCACCTTCACCTGAAGGACAAGGGACACACCTTTGCAGATGACAAAGTCCACATTCTGGACAGAGAAGATAGATGGTGTGAGAGAGGAGAAAAAGAAGCTATCTATGTCAAACGTGAAAACCCCACTTTAAATAGGGGCGGGGCTTAGATTTAACCTTTCCAGTACCAATAATGCAGCTTTGAATCTCATTCCAAAGCAGTTTCAGTGTACTGTTATCGCTACGTGATGGACACACCGTGTTTGTTAACGCAGTTCAACAGCAAGCCAAACTCGGTTTTCATGAGCCAGGAAGCTGAGCGTCTTGCTCCTTTAATAATCCACTCGTCAGTTTACAAGTCATCACAAACGTGACTCAAAGCTCGGTGAAAAGGAGGAGCGAAACTAAGAACAAACAAGAAACAAATAATTAGCTCCTTATCATGTTAATAAATACAACAATTATAAATGTAGCGGAATATAGTTGGTATATTCTTACACTTTTATCAAGGTCCAGAGATATCACTGATCTAAACCTGAGCTGGATCATTAATCTTTGGACCGGGCCCTTATAATCAAAAGAGGTTGTTTTTACCACAGGGAATTTTATTCAAACACCTTGTATTGAATTAGAGACAAGAAGAGAAAGAGAGAGAGAGATGGGACGTTTAAGAATATTTATTTTATAATTATTCGAAACAATCTCCAGGACTAACTCTCTAATGATGGATGCAAATGGATGTAATGCTGAGGTGTTGGTGTGTGTGTGTCAGTTCAGAATCTCCATCTGGTGGAGACGAGTCTGAGTGCGAGGTGTTGTTGCCCTAACTGACCAACGATGGATTTCAGGAGGAAGACATGAGACTCAATATATGCCGATCTACGTACCAGTTTTTAGGTTAGTTTTTGTTCTGTTGTTTTTGTCTCTCAGGTTTTTAGGGTTAGTTTCCTCCTCTGCTTTATTTTGCTTTCTCACTCAGTTAATTAGTTGCACCTGATCTCAGTTCCCTTAATCACCCAGGCCCTGTGTATATAACCCTGTCTTGTCTCTCAGTCCTAGTCCACACGTAGCCGGGTTTTTTTAAAAACGGATATCCGCCCCTCCAAAAACTTGCATCCACACCACCTCGTTTTAAAAACAAACTCTGTCCACACGTACCCGGATAAATACGTTGTTAAGGACATGCCAGACCTGTAGGCGGCAGTACTTCCCCCGTTCTTAACCTCGTCCTTCGTCTGTGGTCTTCCGCAAGGAGCAGTAATTCCACTTGCAAAAACAAACAAGCAGAAAGCGCTTGGACAATTGATAAAGCGAGCGCAGCTCTGAGGGCATCCATGCTGTCGGCTAGTGTAAACACAGGTCGCACACGGGATGTCAGCATTATTTGTCGCGGAAAGTGACGTTGCGGACCTTAAAACTCTGGTTTTGTCTGTTCAGACGGAGAAAACGCAGATCTTCACTTTGGCCAGAGTTTTTAAAAAGATCCGTTTTCGTGTGAAAAAACTCCGTTTTCGTGTGGATGACAGGCCAAAACGTAGAAAAATCTCTACATTTTGGCAGATCCCCGGCTACGTGTGGACAGGGCCTCAGTGTTAGTCAGTTTGATGTGTTATTGTCAGTGTATTTGTTGCCTCCTGTACTTCCAGTTTTTTGTTTCCAGTTTCTGATTTAGCCTCCTGTGAGTATTTTGATTTTGAGTTGACTCCAGTGTTTTTCCTGAGCCTGTGGACTTCCTTTATCACCCCCAATGAAAGGATCATGTTTTTTGCAACACCTCTTATCCGTGTCATTCTGGGATTTGACACTTCGGCACAAACTTCCATCCGCTGCGACACTAGTTCTGCTGTTGAATTAATTATAGATTCACTAAGATAAAGACTAACCCCCAAATTCCACTACCTCCGCCCCTGCCTTCCGCTCGCTTCCGAACTCAAATTATACTGGTACCCGCTCTACAACGGCTCCGCTCCGGTGCGGAGACCTGAGGTGGGCAAACAAGCATGCGCGGGATTTTCGAGATCTTGCGATACAGTCCGAGCAATAAACGCGGAAGTTAGATCCAAACACCCGTTGTGTGGGAGAAGCATCGGCATGAGCTGTTTAATCTGCCCATCATGTGTGTTGAGAGATCAGCAGTGTTTGGATCAACAAAGGGTGACTACTTTGATAGTAGAAACTGTATTTATGGCTTACTTTTGTGCATTTAAAGTTCAGCCGCCACTGATAGTTGTTAAAAGTTGTTAAACCTGTGCATATGAAACAAAAAACGCCTTTTGTTTATCGATTTATTGTGAAAAACGGAAGTTGTGCTTGCTCCTTTTCCTGTTGGGCGATGGTGATTTCTGTCCATTTACTGCGGAGGTGCTCCGGCGTCCGGCGAAAATAGGATCGATTCTATTTTTGCCGGACGCCGGAACAGAGGCACTGCCGGAGCACGGCCGCAGTAGTGGAATTGCTCTGATTGACTACAACGGGACCGATTTTGCGCCGGCGTTCGTGTCGGAGCGGAGCGCAGCGGAGCGGAGGTAGTGGAATTTGGGGGTTAGTTTATCTTGTACTAAATAGAATATTTACTAAGAAATTGCAATGTAGTCATAGAAATACTACTGTGTGTGTGTGTGTGTGTGTGTGTGTGTGTGTGTGTGTGTGTGTGTGTGTGTGTGTGTGTGTGTGTGTGTGTGTGTGTGCGTGTGTGTGTGATCTGTCTTCTCCATCCCCAGTGAGTCGTGGAGGATGGCTGCTCATAGAGCTCCGGGAGTTGACGTCACTTCTCCCAGCATGCAACAGTTCAGATCGAAACGGCACCATTTTGGCAGGCAGAAGCCCGCAGCTAGACTATTTGTTGTCATAAGTCTCACACGGGAAATATGGTCGATTCCTGTTGTGCCCCAGGATGCCAGAACAGACGGGGACAAGTCAAAGGAAGATCCTTCTACAGGATTCCCAAAGATCCGGAACGCCGCAAACGTTGGATAATCGCAATGAAACGCGCTAGCCTCCAGTGTAAAACAAAGCAGTGGGATCCCGACAGTAAAGGTTTTCGCCTGTGCAGCGAACACTTCATATCAGGTACTTAAACCAACGTTTCCTCAAGTGTATATGGTATTTCTTTTAAATGCTTTTATTACGATTCTTAGTGGGCTTCCTAAACTTATTTTGGCGTGGCTTTTTCTGTCTTATTACTCCTAGCAACAAGTAAACATCACGTAAAACGTTGCCTCGTAAGTTCTGCCGCTGCCGTTTACGTGTTTTATGATCACAGCAATTAACCGGCTAAGCTGTATTTAATTTGTAATCAATGGTTGATCAATTGTCAGATCACACATAAAAAGCACTTTGGATTGCTATTTTCTGTCTCACAGAGACAGATCGCAGACAGATCCTGAGACGCTCCTGCCTGACCTATTTATTGTATTCACGGAAAAACATCAAAATAGTTATTTCTCTTGGCGTTCAGTTTAAACATTCAACCAGCACAGCACTCTATTTAAACTACTTACAGTTAAATCGATGTTATTTGTGTTTTAATTAGTTTTATGGATTTGTGCTGAAATATAGAAATGATGACGTTATCTGTTTACAGATTAAAATTAATTTATGTTCTGGTGCAAAGGGACCGGATACCTACCGACAAATACTAAACCTATAACAATGCTTATTTATACACTTCAGGGAAAAAGAGTGATCACCCTCTCTCTCCTGACTACATCCCATCCATCTTCAAACATGTGACATCCCCAGAGAAAAAGAGGAGAAGAAGGCAGTTAGATGGGTTCATCCGGAGACAGAAGAGAAGACTCCAAAGAAGAGAACAAGCAAAGTCAGCATCTGCTACGGTCAGTCCATCATCTAAACTCCTAATTCAGCAGGACTCATGTGAACATGACATCATACAGCCTCCTGCAGCTGATCAAGCAGAGGAAGCCCCTGTAAAGGAAGTGACTCAGAATGAAGTGGAGCCTACACATGACAGCAGCCATCCAGAAACAACGGTGTGTTCCAATGAAACCTGCAAGGAACAAATCAAATCTCTTGAGCTGGAATGCCAAGCACTGAGAAATGAAAACATGTTATTAAGACAAAAAATTACATGTACTGAAATAAATGAGACTACTCTACAAAAAAGTGACAGGAAGGTTAATATGCTCACTGGCTTATCATCATATTCGCAACTTATGGTCATTTTTAATGTTATAATGCCCTATCTAAAGCACAAATCTAGCCTAACACTATTTCAACAGTACATCTTGGCTTTAATCAAAATGAGAATGAACCTGTCTTTTGATTTTCTGGCATTTTATTTTAGCATAGATTCTACTACAGTCTCAAAGCTTTTCAAACACTGTGTAAGTGTCATGTATTGTACACTAGTGCCAAGTCTTGTTATTTGGCCTGAAAGGGAATCCTTAAGAGAATCTATTCCCTATGCATTTAGGAATAGTGTGTTTGAAAAGACAGTCTGTATTATTGACTGTTTTGAGATATTTCTGGAGAAACCAAGTAACCTGTCAGCCAGTGCTCAGTGTTATTCAGCATACAAGTCACACCACACCATGAAATATTTAATCGCAATCACCCCACAAGGTTCTATTTGTTTCATTTCCAATGGATGGGGAGGTCGCACAAGCGATAAGTTCATCACAGAGCAAAGCGGTTTTCTTTCTAATTTGCTCCCAGGTGACTTGGTTTTGGCAGACAGAGGATTCAATGTCAAAGACTCAGTGAATTCTTATCATGCTGAATTAAAGCTTCCAGCATTCACTCGTGGGAAGAAACAGTTAGATCCTGTTGACCTGGAAGACACGAGATGCTTAGCATCTCTTAGAATACACATAGAAAGAGTCATTGGAGTTCTACGTCAGAAATACACAATTTTGCAAAGTAGTGTTTCCATAGGTTTCACTGACATTGACACAGAAAATGATGTGACATACCTTGACAAAATAGTTAAAGTTTGTTGTGCTCTTACAAATGTCTGTGAATCTGTTGTGCCCTTTCAGTGAACTTGTAATATATTTTCCGTAGTTGGGCAGAAAAAAAAATGCTGACAAGGTCTTTTAAGTCATCACAGATGTGAACTTTCACTTTTATTTAGTACAACAGACCAAAAAGGAACAATTCTTAGTCTTCAGAAAATTGTAACATTTTTGTACAAATGCAAACATGAATAAAAAATGAACTTTACTTTCATCAGCCTCTTGTTGTATGTGAAATAATTCTTAATAACAGACTGATGTGTTAGTCTTGAAGCTGTGCCAGTCTGCTATTACGGGCTACAAGTAGGGGCAACCCACATTTGTTTATTACTCTTCAGCTTGTCAGAGATTTCTTTTTTTGTGAGTTGATAACTTTTCTACAGCTTGGACATTTCCATTGTTTAGGATTCCTTTTCAAGTGCAGACAAGTTTTATGAAACTTTTTTAGAGAACAAAAACTTGAGGTGCACACCAACATGTCACCGTCCTCTGGCTCGCGACAGTAACACCACTGTTGACCATTATCAGCACATGCTGCTGCTGGTTTTGGTGCTGAAAAAGACTTTGCAAGCAGCTCTGGGAGAACACATTTTTTGTAAAAAGCTTTTGCACATTCAAGCTGTTTGTCAAAAAATGAGTCATTTGCTGTCACGCGTTCGACAAACGGTGAGTCACGGTCTCTTTCAGTCCAGAGGACGAAATCACAATATTGTCTGTCAGTAACAAATATCTGCATTTGTACTTGATAATAGTATGCGTGATCTTGCTTTAGTCTGATGGTTCCCTGCTCATTTTTTTCAAGGCAAAAATTGCCAAGATTTGCCGCCTCATCCACAGAAAGGTCCTTGGCACAGAATGTGCACTTTATTTCGATAACACCTGGACCACAACAACTGCAAGAAACATAACCATCAGGTGAGGCTCCGATGAATGGATGTGTGGGAGAGATCCTGAAACCAGCTGTTTCTACTAGGACATCGGAATGTGCAAGGCGATGCTGAGTTTCATAATAATTTCTTGCCAGCTCCTCATGGGTACAGCCCCATCTGGAAAACACCAAAATCCTTTTCCATACTTTTGCAAATCCAATCTAGATAAAACGATGATAAATAGTTCAAGTAGCACACAAAACTAAGGTATTTCACTTGATACCTGGTGGCCTCACTGGTGAAGCTATGAGACTTTGGGTAGCATATTTTCCGAATCAGGGACACGGAGGGCTTTGTGATGTCTGTCTTTGTGGCTGCTTTGAAGGTGGACGCTGTTATTCTACCACTTCTTTGGTCAAACCAAATGTTGGACTTTGACTGTGCTCGAGTCTCCTCTTCCACAATATCACTCTGGAAATATGATCAGACAAAATTGTACACAATCACAACCATGAACTAAGGCCAACAACCACCTTAATTTGCTGTATTTGTAACACAATGACTTACCTGTTCCTTGGTCACAGTCATGTTTTCTAAAAGTTTTTCCGCTCTTTCTTCTAGCTCCTCTGTGCTGACATCTCTTGCCTGTCTGTCATACAGATTTATGAGGGGCTGTGGAAGATCGAGGGTCACAGCTTTTGGGACATAGGATGATGAGAAGTCTCTGATCACAGATAGGACTGCTGGCTTTATTGTCTGTCCATCTTGTGTACAGCAGCTTGAGAGAGTGCTGTAAAACTGTGCTTGCTCAGTGGGGGTCAGAGGTGGGAAGGCTGGTGAAGTGGCATGTCCTTTTGAAGACTTCATTTTCTTGGTTTGTTGTGAGTGGTTAAATATTATGTCCTTGCCTTGCTGATACTCCACTTTTTTCAGAGACTCCTCACTTGGCTTGATCCACTTGCACTTTTTGGACGTGACTGCTATGTCCTCATCTCTTGCATGGTTAAGCTGCAATAATTTGAACAAAACTGCTGACACATGGGAGCAACATTCTCCCAACCCTGCTGTACAGTTGCAGTGGGCTCCTAGCACCACTCCATCATTTCTGATGACCACCCATGGCTTCAACTGAGGGTCATTTAATCTTTGGGAGTGATTCACCTGTAACACAGATTGAATACCATCATTAGAACTGCTCCTGTATCATTAAGTCTTTAGGCACCTGTTTATATATATTTAATTTGTGTGTGTGTGTGTGTGTGTGTGTGTGTCCGTGTGTGTGTGCGTGTGTGTGTGTGTGTGTGTGTGTGTGTGTGTCTAATTGATTTAACTACGGCAATGTTTTATAAAATAATTTTTAGAGGCTGGTAGGAATATCTGTTTATTTCATTTGTTAAGACACTTCTAAAATTAATTACTTCAAACCGTATTTACGGCAAAATTTTACATGATAACACACATTAAAAGTATTGGAGATTTTAGTTACAGAGGTCTATCTCCTGGCAGAATGACTGATCAAATCTGCAACTGTGGCTCGTTACAGTCAGAAATGTGGCTTGTCGCAATTTCGCACCTTTGGCATCTAAAGAGTTAAGCGATGCAAGTGTACAGTTCTGTTTCACATCTATGTTTTCATTAAATACTGGTTACTTTTCTAAGGTTCATGAACACACGACGTTTCACACAGAGATAACCGAGCAAGGGGCTGTTGCTAACGGTAAAAAAAGAAACAAACTCCACTTACCCTCCCGGTGACAACAGCGCTGTCCTTTGCAGGAAGAATCCAGATCTGGATACCGACAACAAACCCTGATTGTGTCCATTTGTATCCCTCCAGGCTCTTATATGCTCGTAGCGATGCTCCGGAGTAGGACGAGGGAAAATTAATAAGGAAATTATAAATGTCAGGGTATCTCAAATCCGGGAGGTCGGCTCCGACAGCTTCTGGCGTTTTAAAAAGTACCCCAGGGGCATGGTAAGGGTCGGAGATGTTTCATCTATGTAATTTATGACTATATAAAATGATTTCTTCGGTTTTAAAGTGAGAAGTGAACTCCGACGGAGTAAAATCCAGGCAGCTCCCGTTCACGTCCATAGTTACATCCGTGTTTGTTTACCTTTTTTTGCATGCCAAAATGGCGTCCACTAACTGAGAGTCACGTGGGGTCCGGAGCTCTATACTGAGCCAGGATTCTCTGGAGGTTTCTTCCTGTTAGAAGGGAGTTTTCCTCTCCACTGTCGCTTTATGCTTGCTTAGTATGAGGATTGCTGTAAGGACTCTGACACTAGTCAGTGACTCGATGCAACCTGCTGGGTTCCTTATATATGAAACTTTTTACTGATTGGCTTAATGAACTGACCTTCAAACTTTTTTTTAAGAAGTTTTATTTGTTTTTGTCACAAATACAGAATCAAACTAACAAACGTACATCAACTATGCACACGAACAGACATCGGCTCATTAACCGACAAGAGGCACATAACAGATAACAATACAACATTCCAAAGGGCACGTTATTTTTTTGTTTGTTTTTTGTTATACAGGGTCAATCAGAAATAAACATTGAAGATTCATTAAAGTGAGTTCTGCCTTCTTATTTACAATTAACTTTATGGTGTTTACATATGAGTGGAAGTCATTTAAGAAAACGCAAAAGTTAGGGAGAGATTTGGAGACTCTCGCTTTAAGTGAATGAAATTTCCCTAAAAGAAGCATTAGATTAATTATAAAACTTAACATTTTATCATTACATTCAAACTTGACAATAACATCCTTATACCTGATTTGGATAGTGCATTTGGATTTAATCTTAATAAAATTTTCCATATCTTTCCAAAACCCAGATGAGAGAGGACAGTTTTAAAATAAGTGTATAATAGTCTCTGAACCAGTATGACAAAAGGTACATTTTTCATCTAGATCTTGGAGCAATGATATTTTTTTTATTACATCGATAAATATTGTGTAAAATTTTTAAATGAAGTTTCCTTATCTTGTTAGAAATACAGTATTGAAAGTGAACCATCCATGCTTTTTTCCAATTTATAACAAACCGTGTGTTCCGGAAAAACTTTCCTTTGGGTGCCATCGTATTAGAACAACATAAAACCTTCCTTATATGTTGATTTGAACATTTCTTATATAATAAATCAATACCCCCAACTTTTAGAGAAGGTATCTGCAAACTAAATCTCTGATAAACAGAGTGTGCTCTCATTAACTCAACTATGCCTGAAGAAATGCTCTCATGACCGAGGCAAATTCTTTGTATTTCACAAGAAAATCCTTAGTTTTCAAAAAGTTTTCATAGCTATAAAGGCTTCCGTTATAAAATAAATCTGCAGCAAAAATGATGCCTTTCTCAACCCAATTAATTTTATACAAACTTTTGTTGTTTATAGTAATATTACCATTATTCCATAATATTTCTTTGTGTGGGGAGAAATTGTGTGTATGGCATAATTTCAACCGAAGTAAAGCCTGCTGGTGAGACACTGAAAGTTTCACTGGTAATTTAGAAATAATAAAGTTGCAACGTAACAGAAAATGTAAACCCCCTACCGTTTTAAATATGTTATGTGGAATAAAAATCCATAAAGATTCTGGCATTTCTAGACATTTTTTAATCCATTTGTTTTTAAAGGTTTTGTTTAAGTGGAAAAAAATTAAGAGTTCTAGGCCCCCCTTGCTCTTTCCAGATAGAGTATGTCTTTTTTTTAGATGATGAAAACTGTTCTTCCAGACAAAGTTTACAAATGAACTGTTAATTTCTTTACAAGTTGCATCATTAACATGAAGGGAGAGATGGGGATATACTAACCTTGATATGCCTTCCGCTTTTGTTAACAACACCCTGCCAAAAATAGAGAGGTCCCTTTGCAGCCACATATTAAGAATCGAATGAGTTTTTTTAATTCTTGATTGTAGATTTAATGTTTGTCTCATCATTTTGTCTAATTATGTGAATTCCTAGATATCTAACAGTTTTTTGACGGCACTACCAGAACAGGAGCTTCCTTTTCAATTTTCAAGAAACTCCTGAAGACCCTGCTCTTCAGAGAGCATCTTCTAAACTAGCACCCTCCCTGCACCTGTCCCCCCTCTCTACCGTCCACTCCTTGTTCCCTCCTCTCCATGATTGATGTCAAGTTGTTGTTGTTGTTATTGTTGTTGTTAGCCTCAAGAGCAACATGCCGATTATCACTTGTAAGTCGCTTTGGACAAAAGTGTCTGCTAAATACATAAACATAAACATAAACATCTAACAGTTTGTTTGACGGGACTATTGAACATATATTGGTCATTGGTTTCATATAAACATTAAATTTCACTTTTGTCAACATT